CATACTGTTGCCTGAGGAAACAGAAGGTGAGGTGGCTTTGTGTGTAGGGGACAGCTGAGCTATAGTAGGTGGCTGTGGTAGGGAAAGCTGTGACATTTGTCCCCACTGGCATCTGCTTTTGATGTCCATGTGGCACCTAGTCACAGCCCTCATTCATTGATGGATGAAACAGTGACATTGCAGGGAGTAGGGAAGGCGGTTTTGCCAGCCCTCCTCGGGTGTCACCTCCCTGAGCCTCTCACCTCTGGGAGGGCCAGGAGGGGCCACTGGCTGTCCTCACACTGGTCCCTTCCATCTCTCAAAGTAGCATGTTCTTTTCTGTTGAACCAGGCAGCGAGGACCTCACCTTGCAAATGCTCATAGTTTAAGAGTGATTATGTCACTGGAAATTCTTCAGTCGATCAGCTTAGAATATTACAACTCTAAAATTCTGAATTTTTATTCAGCCAGTTTCAAGTACTTACTGTGCAGCTATCAAGTTTCCAGTCTATGGTTGGTGTTCCAGACACAAAATGAATTAAAGCACAATTCTACTTCTGAAGAAGCTATCATAAAGCCATACATAGTCACTAATTTACACGATGAGTTATTGAGGGCCTATGCTAGACATTGGATAGAGTAGTGTTTGTGGCCAAGTTTGGATATAGTGACCTTCTTGCAATTAAACCATCCCTTCCCAAAATGTCTGAACTTCTCAGCATGTCAGCCAAGCTGCCTCATGACGGGGCTCCTGCCTACTTCCCCAGCCTCAACCTCCTGACAAGTCCCATGGACTAAATGTTGAAGTCCCTAAGACAGTCATATGCTCACTTTCCTCTTTTCCAAAGCCCTCCCCTTTCTGGTTTAATTTGAAGGAACACCATCTTGGTAGTACCACAGAGTATGTATTGGAGTGGGGTGTGAATTGGGAAGGAGGTTATTGCTGTTAACTTTTTAAAGAAACAATGAGGGTTTAAAACTAAGGTGTTACTAGAGGGCAGAGGGGAGGAGCCACTAGGAGAGAGACTTAGAAAGTTGCATGGCAGACTTGAGGAGGGATGGACTGTAAGTGGGAGGTGAAGAAGAGAGTAGAAAGTCGGCTGCCTCCTGGGTTTTGACTTGGACCACCTGGAAATGATGGCCTTTCCCCTTGGCAGGGAATGCCTGGGAAGAAGTACATTGATGGCATGCTAATCAACTTTTTCATCGCTGTGACAAAATGTCTGAGATAAACAACTTAAGGGATAAAGGAGTCCAGTCCATGATCAGCTGGCTTCATTTTCTCTGGGTCTGTGGTGAGGCAGAGCATCACAGCAGAAGGGCGTGCCAAAACAAAATTGCTCACTTAATGGAAGCCAGGGGAAAAGAGAGACAGAGAGAGAGAGAGAGAGAGAGAGAGAGAGAGAGACATAGAGAGAGAATACCATTCAAAGATGTACCCCTAGGGACCTACTTCCTCTAATCAGACCTCTTCTCCTAGTGTTATGAATCCATCAGTGGACTGATCCATTGATCATTTCAGAGTTTTCATGATCCAATCACTTCTCCATAACTGGACCCACTAACTGGGAACCAAGCCTTCCACACAGGAGACTTTTTGGGGGACGCTTCATATCCAAACTATGAGTGGATGGTATTGATGACAGGGATAGGAATGGAGGAAACGAGGACAAGAAGCTTAAGCTGCTAAAAGTGCAGACAGAATGATGCCTGAGTGATAGTCCAGTGGCGATGTCTGGTAGGTGGCTGGGTGGACAGGTTTGGAGTGCTCCCCTGAAGATGTGAGCCAGAAGGAAGGGCCCTGAAAACCTTCATCATGACTTCTCTGTGATCTTGGAGGGCGGAAAGAAGGAAAGGCAGGAGGGATGGCTTGAGGATAAGGACCGATCAATCAGAACGTGACAGGAACAGCCAACCAAAATGCTACTTTCTGCACCCTAAGTAGCATAGAGATTGGCAATGCCCTGGAGAAAACCGATAAAAGCCTCAGACTGTCATTTCTCAGGCACCCTCTCTTGAGACCCCTCCTTCCCAATTCTAGGGGATCTACTCTCGCACTTCACACTTTTTTTTTTTAAATCTCAATAAACTCTCAGCTTTACATTTGTCTTATGAGTGAAGTTTATTCTTCAGCTTCGGGAGACAAGAATCTGGTCTCGAGTTTACCATTTCAGATGGATCTCAGGAGACATACTGAGTTTTTCATTGTTAGCGTGTCAGTCAAATCTATAGTTTTAACAAAGGTATTCTGGGAAAACTTACAGAGTGAGCAAAGAACAGAGATTGGAAGATGTGACTATGTGGTCATCAAAGTGACCAGGTCAGGAAGAAAGGAGTTCCATCAGAGGTGGAGCAGGAACAGCTGGGAAACTGGAAAAGAAACCCAGGAGACAGCCAGACAAGGAACACCAGAGGAAGACATAGTTCAAGAATGAGAACGTACCAGAGCCAAGTTAGATAAGGACCAAAACAGTAGCTTTAAGCAATTTGCTCTGTGCCCATCTTGATGAGTCAGAGAAGTGATGGATGTGGGAAGCCATCCTGCAAAGACTGCACACTCTGTGGGACGAGAGGACAGTTCTGTGTGTCTGGAACACCGCCCGAGCAGGGGTCAGGCTGGGTGGCTGGCTGGCTTCTGTCAGCTCCTGATTGCCTCTATGTCCTTCTCTGCACTTGGGCTTCATTGTGTGGGCAACAGGGAACACACACACAAGCCAGCTTGTTATTTTTCTTTCTGTACAAGCCATTTTAAAAAAACTGAGGTAAAATTTGCATAGAATGAAAGGAATAGAATTCAAGGAATTTTGACAATTGTGAATCTGTGTAACCAACACCTTGATCAAGACAAAATAGTTCCACAACCCGATGCTTCCCTCCAGCATGGTTCTTAGACTCCACTCCCTTAAAGACACTTCATCCTCATTTCTATCCCTGAGATTGTTTTAGTCTATTCTTGAATTTCACATAACTGGAGTCATGAGGCCATAAACTTCGCCTGGCTTTGATTGTGCAATATGTTTTTGAGGTATCCCTGTTGTTGCATGGATTAGCAGCTCTTTTTCTTTTATTGCTGCCAGCATTATTACATAAGTCACAACTTGTCCATTCTTCTACTGATGGATGTTAGTTTGTTACAATGTTTTGGCTGTAATGAGGGTGTTGCCCCCAACATTCTACCAGACTTGTTGGCATTGCGTTCTCAGTTATTTCAGGCAAATACCTAGGGTGCACTTGCTAAGTCTTAAGTAGGTTCTTGTAACTGCATGAGAAGTTTTCTAGAGCAACCGTACCATCTATGTGCCCACTGGTAATGTGTGAGAGTTTCGTACCCTTGGCCCTTGGTGCCATTTGGCGTTTTCAGTGTTTCAGAATTTTAGCTATTCTTAAGAGTGGGGAGTGGTATCTCATTGTGGGCCTGATTTGCCTTTCTCCGGTGACGAATGACATCGGAAACCTTTGCAAATGCTTACCATTTGCGTATTTTCTTTTGTTAAGCATCTGCTCAGAACTTTTGTTCACTTATGTGTGATGTACATACATGTTGAGAAAAATAATATTTATTGGTACATTTTATGTGGAAGGCAACATAAAATACTAATGGGCCTTCATATGTGGACATGAGATCAAGGGCAAACACAACAAGGGGATTGGATTTTGAGCACATGATAAAGCGAGAGCACACAAGGGAGATATGAGGATAGGTAAGACACCTAAAAAATTAGATAGCATTTGTTGCCCTCAATGCAGAGAAACTAAAAGCAGATACCTTAAAAGCGACTGAGGCCAATAGGAAAAGGGGAACAGGAACTAGAGAAAAGGTTAGTTCAAGAAGAATTAACCTAGAAGGTAACACCCACGCACAGGAAATCAATGTGAGTCAATGCCCTGTGTAGCTATCCTTATCTCAACCAGCAAAACCCTTGTTCCTTCCTGTTATTGCTTATACTCTCTCTACAACAAAATTAGAAATAAGGGCAAAATAGTTTCTGCTGGGTATTGAGGGGGGTGGGGGGAGAGGGAGGGGGCGGAGTGGGTGGTAAGGGAGGGGGTGGGGGCAGGGGGGAGAAATGACCCAAGCCTTGTATGCACATACGAATAATAAAAGAAAAAAAATAACATGAACACTTAAAAAAATACTAATGGGCTTAAAATTATGCATTCCATCAATGGAAAATGGAACGACGAAAACATGGAAAAAACTTTGCGTGTGGAATGTCAGATAACTTTAAATTTAAATACATTTATTTTTATCTTCTCCATTAACTTATTATATGTCAAGTTGACTGACGGTGGGATTGTGTCTTCTCCATTTACTAAGAGACAGCTCTTTACGGCTAGAAGGACAAAGGAAACCCACGCCACTAATTCAGTTAAACCTGGAGTGGAGTCAGTAAGTACAGCAGCCACGCGTGCTGAGATGAGGCTTTCTATTTGTTTTTAGCAGATGCCGTCAGAACTACAGCAAATTCGTGTGTGGCCTATTTTTGAGTTTGTTCCGGGGACCATGCATTGTGTGTGAGGTTCTGTGTCCTGGGCTTGGCCAGGCTGGGTGTGGGCACCTTTCTTCCAGCTGTATCCTAACATCCTGCCGTGCCCCTAAATCATCCTTGTTTTCATTAATTATTTTAGTGCATTTGTTCAGAATCCTTTTCGGATACACTGTGTCAGTGTCTTTGTGGGTGAATTACGGGCATGCACCTTTTTGAAAATAATCCCCTAGGTGAATGTGAAGTACACCTTTATGAACTTGCAGCCTAGATCACAGGGACGCCTGGCTGATTTAGGGCCCTGGGTAGGTCAACCTCCAAACAGAAATTGGTTGAGTTGGTGTAACAATACACTGAAGTCTAACGAGGGCCTTCTTCCTCCTAAAATTCAGCAAGGGAGAACCGCAGGAGCCCACAGGGTAGGCTCTAGGCATTGCTGGAGGAAGGGGCCCAGGACGCGTGGAGCTCCGCCCCCTCCCCGCGCACGCGCACGTCCTCTCGGGCCCGGCCGGTGCACGCGCACGCCGACGCCTTCCTGGGCAGCTTGGCGGCGGCGGCTGCGCGCGCGCGACCAATGGAGTGGGTCCTGGCAGAGGCGCTGCTCGCGCAGAGTCCGGACCCCCGGGTCCTGCTCGGGACGCTGTGCGGCGGGGAGGCGTCGGCGGAGCGCGTGGAGACGCTGCGCTTCCTTCTGCAGCGGCTGGAGGACCAGGGCGCGGGTGCGGGCGCGCTCCCGGAGGCGGCGCGCGAGGTCGCCGTGGAGTACTTGGTGCCGCTGCTGCGCGGCCTGCGTGAGCGCCCGGGCGGCTCCGACGCCGGCCCGCCGTGCCGGCGCCAGCGCGTGCTGCGGGCGGCGGGCGCGGCGCTGCGCTCGTGCGCCCGGCTGGCTGGGCCCCCGCCGCTGGCCGCCGCGCTCGCCGAGGACGCGCTGCGGGAGCTGCAGGCGGCGCGCGCGCCGGGCGCCCTGGCGGCCCTGGAGGTCCTGGCGGCCGTCGGGCCCTGCCTGCGGCCCCGTGAGGACGGGCTGCTGCTGGAGCGGGTGGCGCGGGCCGCCGTGGCGCTGGCGCTGGCCGGGGACGGGTGCTCCGAGGACGCGGCGGCGCTGGTGGCCGTGCGGCTGCTGCCCGCGCTGGGCCAGTGCGGCGGGGCGGCATTGCGGGCCGTGTGGGATGCGCTGGCCGCGCCGGACGCGCCCTCGGGCCCCGGCCGCATCGGGCCGGAGCTGCTGGTGCTGAGCGCGCTGGCCGAGAAGCTGCTGCCCGAGCCCGGCGCGCGCGACCCGGGCCCCGACGCGCGGCACTGCGCGCGCTTCTGGAGGACGGTGCAGGCGGGGCTGGGCCGCGCCGATGACGCCCTGACGCGCAAGCGCGCGCGCTACCTGCTGCAGAGGGCCGTGGAGGTGTCCGCCGAGCTGGGTGACGACTGCACCTGCGGCCCCCAAGACGCCACGGGTACTTACTCGACCCTGCCTGCCTTCCCGGGAGCGGAGCTCCCTGCTTCCGGAAACCAGCTCCCCAGGTCGCCCCCGCCATCCCTGCAATTTGGCTATTCGGATGGCACTCCTAAAGCCTGACAGCCTTGGGGACATCCTCTCGAAGGTGTCCTGGGAGGTGCCGCGGTCGGAAACAGTGGACCAGGAGCAGGGTGTGGTTCGGCACCCGCGGAGTAGTTTAGGAAGATGACCTCGGGCCTGTAAACTGACCCAGAGTTGTGCGCTGTCGTGGTGCGTCCGTTCTAGTAGGTCGGAAGGGTTGGCATCCAGCAGTTTGAAAGGAAAATTAGGTACCTGTACTCAGGGAACAATTTATTTATCTGAGGGTTAGAATTAACCATTGCCCTTTTGAAATTTCTCTTGGTAATGAGTTCTCAGGAGCAGGATTTAGTAATATTTGCCACGCATTTTTCTTGTCAATCTTTGGAGGGTTTTTTTTTTTTTCCCCATCAATTTAGTAGAATGATTTTGGTTGAATTTTTTGGGGGTAGTACTGGGGTTTGAACTGAGGGTCTCATGCTTTCTAGGCAGCCTCACTCCACCAGTCCTTTTTTGTGATGGGTGTTTTCGAGATAGGGTCTCAGGAACTATTTGCCCTGGCTGGCTTTGAACTGATCTCCTGCTCTTTGCCTCCTGAGTAGCGAGGATTACAGGCGTGAGCCACTGGCGCCCGGCTTCTGATTGAATTTTTTAAACAGCGTTTTGGGCTGTGATATCTCCTGCTTCCCGCAGAGTGGATGGATAGCAAAGCCTGCCCTCGGCTTTGCGTTTCCTGCAGATTGGTTTGTCCGTGGAAGTGTGTGAAAGCATGCTTAACTCGTTTTTGAACTATCATTGTCCAAAAGACTGACTCCACGTTGTCTCGATAGAAAGTCTCTACTTTTCTAACTGTACATGACTCCTCATTTATTTCAGGTAAAGGATTTTTGTCTGGCTGAAGTTGTGAGATTAGAGTTTTATCTAACTTAAAAATAGATTTGAAATAGTTGAACAGTTCCAAAATGGGTGATCATTCCTTGTGAGTTTTTACATTTGAAGAATGAGCAGAGTGGAAAGCTTACTGTCAAGAGTAGCAATGGTCTTCCTGTCCCCCCCCACACACATACCCCCATCTGGAAAAGAAACCACTTACACCTCTTTAAATGGATATTTTGGTATTTACCTATGTCTTGAAAGAGTATATCTTAGCTGTATCCTGAAGTCCATTGTCGTAGTTCAGTTTTTGGTAAATGTGTTTAGCATTATGGCTGCAGACATTGTTGACAGGTGGTCTACATAGAAAACTAGTCACAGTTTAAAGAAACAAAACCATTCTTCCATTCCTGCGAGTTTTTCTTATAGTTACCTCATGCTACGTTTTTCTTGGTTTTGTCCATACTAATCACAAATTTAGCCCTCAATTCTCAGCCAGTTGCCTGAATCCTTCCTCTGTAAAGGCAAACCATGAGGTGTTTCATAAGTTTCCTTGAGGAAATCTTTCTTGGAGTCCTTGTTCTTGCTTGAATAGGGATTGTTTTTCCCTATGCCAAGTGCGTAGCTGATAGCCTTAGATCTGTGTCCACCATCCTCCCTTCACCCGAGTCCTCTTTCCTGAAGTCTGTGTTTTTACTCACTGTATCTGTGTAGTGCATTCGCCAGTGGTTTCCTGAGAGAACATGTTTTGAAGGTTGCATGTCTGATGATTGATGATTGTATCAAAAGATGCTCAGTGTCTGACAACATGTGTTCTTCTTTAGCAATCCCATTTGAACTTAAAAAAGTTAGTCTCCATCTTCTGAAAATCCCCTTCTGCTCATCTGTTTCTCCTTGATCTTTTCTGTTAGGTCCTTTGATGTATAATTGCACTTACTCACAAGTCTGATACCTGAACTGGCTAGGTTTGACTGCTCTCTTTTATCTTTGCATCATGGAATCATGTCTTTTTGTCCTAGTATTTCTTCTGTTAGGCCCTCGGTGTGTGGCACTGAGTCCATCTGGTTGATCTGGCTTTGGGTTTGTCTTGCTGTGCTTGTCTCAGATGCACTCTGGTCTTCTTGGGGTGGTCGTGGCCACCTTGAGCATGACCTTGGAGAACCTGGAGGTTTTGCTCAGGCCTTGGATGCCTGCCCCAGATGGGGTCTTCTGAGGCTGGTGCTTGGTGCTTGGTGCAGGTAGAGATGAAGCTGGGCCTTTTCATCTCTTCTACTCCAGTTGTGTCTAAGGCCCTGTGTGCCTGAGCATCCCAGCGTGAACTTTTCCTGCCACCTCTACTCCTCTGCAGTCCCACACAGCCTCTTCCTCTGCCTAGTGAAGGGCTGGACATTGGTGCCGTCTCCTGGGCCATCTGCATTCTGCCCGGGGCGGGGGTCCTGAGCCCTGGTGTTGCCCTCCTCTGGCCAGACTGGCTTTTTTTGTGTCCTTTAGCGTTCCTGCAGGGGCTTTCTTCCTCTTCTACAGCAGCAGGCGCTTTCGCTTCTTAGCAGTTTTCTGTCCCTCCCCACGGGCAGCCCAGCTTTGCCTGGTATTAGGGCAGAGACAGGTGCAGGCTTTGGCCTATTGTCAGTGCAGGGTCCAAGAACAGGTGGGGCTGAGAGGTTGTTCCCTGTTGGTGTCGCTGTAGGATGTGAATGGACCTCCCGTGTTTCAGGCAGCCCCTCAAGCTAAGGCAGGTCCTACAGCCTGTGACTCCAAGGTCTCCCTCCCTGCCCAGGAGGCTCCTGAGCACAGAGGAGGCCAGGAAAACAGCTGGGGAGTGGGTTCCTGGGCTTCTGTGATGTCAAGCCAGTCTTTAAACACTCATTTAAAATGCTATTTAAAACCTGCTTCTCGGTGCCTCCTCTTCTATGTTTAGTCTGAGGTGGACAGTTTGTATGCCCTTTCTATTCTTGGAGGGACTTCTGCCCTTGGGCTCCCCAAAAGTTTAGGAGTTTGCAGGTTATCCAGCCTTTGCTCTTGGTGGCAGTAATGTTCATTCGAAGTGGAATGAAGAGGCCATATGAGTCTAAACAGCTGGGTTTGTCTTTACATTTGATTGTTAGTTTGGTGGGGGCAGACTTCTAGCTTGGAAAATATTTCCATCCAAAATTTTAAAGGCATGGATCTGCCCTCTCAGAAGCTGGAGCTCCCTTGTTGCTATTGAGAAGATGAAAGGATTCTGAAACCTCTTTGTTTATGGTCTGCTCCTTCCCTGTGGAGGTTCCAGCGTGGGCCCAGGTCTGTTTTCATCCTTGTGCTGGACGCCTAGTATACCTGTTCAGTCCGGAAGTCAGGTACTGTGGTTCTGGGAGATTTTCTTGAGTTATTTTGTTCATGATTTCCATTTACAGCCCTTTCTTTGAGTTTCTTGCATTGCTGTCAAATTTTAGTTCTCAGGAGACCTTGTTTGTCCTTGGAACATCCCTTTTTTTTTTTATAGCATCCTGTTCTTCAGCCTCAGGGAACAGATCCTTTTTGGGTTAGCCTGACTTCTCATCTCCAATTACAGAAGTGACTTTCTCTGCCAAGATCCTGGGGGGATGTTATAAGGCAAATCAAATGACTTCTTGGCTTTTCCTTATCAACTTAAAGTTCCTTTCTCCTAAGTCTGTGGATTTCCTATGATTTTCAAAACTGCTGTGTCTGCTCCTTTTTTTTTTTCCCATTCTCCTAGTGTTTTGCCTTTGAAAACTCCTTTACTATTAGAATAAAAGTCTTAGGGAGAGAAAGTAGAGTTTGTATGTGCAAACCTGTCCTTCTTACCCAGAAGTCCGCTATGATCTTATTGAAAACAAACCAAACAAAACTCCTTTTGACATTTCCAAGCTCCCTGTATAAGGCACCTCTGTGATGAGGGAATGCAGTATTTGCTAACAGCAGCGTTATTTTAAGTATGCTATTATGAAGAAAATGATGAAATTTGCACAAGGAAAAACTAATTTTCTTTTTTAAAACCCTACCAGGCCCAAGTCTGTTTTGGTGGTCTGAAAAGAAAAAAGATGAGCTTCTGAAGTTTTGGGAAAATTACATTTTAATTATGGAGACTCTAGAAGGAAATCAGGTAAGTGCTTTCCTATTTTAATAAATCCTATAGCACCTATTTTACTCTTCTCCAAATAGTTCACTGAAAGCAACGTAGAAGGCCAACTTAGATGTGGCATGATAGACTCCTAGTAAGCTTTGTTTTCTGGCATAAACGCAAATTAAAATAGAGCGTGAATTGTCCCAGCAAACTAAAGAATGCTTTCAGTGGACTTAAATAGCCCTTCAAAAAATGGAGCCTTATTTCACCTTCCCTTGGCATCCTCCAACTTGAATCAGAATCGCAGACAGCTTGTTATAAAACACAAATTGCTGAGCCCCACCTGCAGGCATTTCGACTCAGTAGGTCAGGGCAGGGCCTGAGAATCTGAGTTTTGTACCGGTTTCCAGGTGATGCCTGTACAGCCGTCTCCTGACTCGGGGCTCCCTGTTATAAGATGCAGGACACGCGGGAGCCAGCCATCTGGAGTCAGCGTGAGGTGTCCATCCAAATGCGTACCACACATTACTTAGGGATACGAGGAATGCAAAGTATTTCTAAATTGAAATGAGCGTGTAGGGTTTCTTTGGTTGGTCGATCTGTGAGACCTCCTTTATTTATTTTAGAAGCTCAGGTTTATGTATATTCTGAAGGCTCTATCAGTCAGACTCCGGGAAAGGGCCTGCCACATGGTCTAAGTGGCGTGAAGCGCCTTGAACTCTGTGTTGGCTCTCCTTCTCGATGTGACTTTGAACGGCTTGAGTGACAGGCAACACTTCAGTGTCATCTCTTATTTAAGGCACCGGTCTCATCAGCCCTGCCTTTTTCCCAGGGCAGTTAAGGATCACATTACATAATTTAGGACATTCACCATGTAAGCGTCCACATTACTGTAGCTGTGTTTTAGGTGACACATTCAGTCCTGGACACCCAGACCATGCCGTGACAAACTCTAGAAGAAGCTTCAGGGCAAAACCAGGAAGACTGTCGTTAACCTGTCGTTATATAAATAACATTCCCTTACATTTCTGAAGCTGGATTTCTATTTCATATGATTTTTTGCTCTTATTTTTAGATACATGTTATAAAGCCAGTCTTACCAAAGCTAAACACTCTGTTTGAGTATGCAGTGTCAGAAGAAAATGGTAATGATTACTTTCTTTTTGCTTTTATGAAACGTAGTTTTCCCCCCTCATTTGATAACTAGTTCTTGTTCATTGTGGAGAATTTGGAAAAACTTAGTGTAAGCAGAGAAATGGGAACCGTCTCGTAATGCTGCCACTAGACAGTCTTGGTCATTAATAATGCACCTTTGCCTCCTTTGGGAGAACTGTCCACAGCTCACACGCCACAGCGTGTCCACCCGCAGCACAGCGTTTACTCATGGCCTTCAGTCGTCTTCAGGAACATAGCTTTACATGTCACAGGATGTCCTGTGATTACATGGAGGTGTGATTGATGGATTAAGCTTTGACCATAAGAATTTCGACATCACCTGTCTCAGAGGCAGTCCTCAGTGGCCAGCTCGTTTCCTGTGTCACGTGCAGCCTCTCTTGCCGCCTCTCCAGCACCGAGGCATCCTAGCATTTCCTCTGTAAAAATGTCAGTGTGTGTCCTTAAGAGATAAGGATGCTTCACTAATGCTGTGTTTTAATAATAATAGCTCTTGAATATGAATGTACATTTCTACTGCTTTGCGTTCTTACTCTGGTAAAATCTTTTTTATGTAAAATGCACATGTATCTTTTCATGTGTTAGACTTATTTTTTGGGGGGGGCAGATTCTGGTATTGTTACATATCTTGGACTTCCCGGGAAGAGAAAATTCCAGGGTTTATTTTAAAATTTTTTATTGTTTTGGCAGTAGTGGGGTTTGAACTCAGGGCCTATGCTTGCTAGGCAGGCGCTGTACCTCTTGAGCCTCTCCACCAGCCTTAAACATGGTTTTTAAACCCTGGATCATCAGAGGTTTCTAACAGAAAGATGATGAAGCTGAGACTTCCTGAAATTGTTTTGTGAAGTCAGATTTAGATCAGTGAAGCAGCTTTTGCAGGCTAGGATACTTGGTGTTCACAGGAACGGTGAGATGCTGTGTTGCTGTGTTCACACACGAGGATTAAGCCAGGTAAATGGGTGTCAGTGCCCACCTAGATAATTGCAGCGTTAATAGTTTGACCCCTCGGGAACTGGGCTTTATTCAGCTGATTGCGGCGGCTGTTTTGTGATACACTGGGGTTTTTCGCAGACCGTGAGCCTCTCTTGTCCCACCTGGGGCTAGCATTTAATTCAATCCTGTGATGACTTTGCTTATTCACTCACTATTAAAATGATGCTCTTATTATCATATTTTGCCCTCAGCTCTTGGCAAGCTAAACGAAATCACAGTGACAGTTTTGAACAGTGACCATTGCCAAAGAGTTGAGCAAGAGTTTTGTTGTAAATTGCAAATGATAGGCCAGTTTGTTTACAGAATGTCGTGGGTTCAAAATGCCAGATGCTCATTTCTAACAGAATTAAAGGGTATTTCAAGAAAAAATATCTCTGAGGTGCACATTTATTCCATGTTTTATTTGCTCCCTCAGTTACATATTCAGTTAATAAGTGTGTAATAATATACATTCAGTATATACTAAGCACTGGGTAACATGGAGAGACTATATGTATGTGAGTGTGTAAATGTGTATATATAGCCTCTCCATTTGAACCATGCCCCAGCCCTTACTGCTTCAGTTATTTTTCAGGTAAGGGGTCTCGTTTTTGCCTGGGGCCATCTCAGACTGTGATCCTCCTACCTGTGGCCTCCTAAGGAGCTGGAATTTCAGGAGCGCATCACCACGCCCGGCTTATTTAATTGAGATGGAGTGTCACCAACTTAAACTGTGATCTTCCTGATCTCTGCCTCCCGAGTAGCCGAGACTACATTCTTGAGCTGCCCCCTGTCCCATGTGGTTTTGATTATAGGTTCTCTGAAGGGAGAAGACAGGGATGAATGGAATGCACAGTGAGAGGGTAGTCAGAGAAGGCCTGACTTGGGGGTGACATCTGAGCTCGGAGCACTGGGGAGGCGTGAGCCCTCCTGAGATGGGAACAGCTTCTCAAAGCAGGCTAAGGACCAGCAGAGCTGCAGGAGCAGGCTTCAGAGAAGGAGATAGGGCTGGAGCGCTAGTCAGTATCTGTCCCTGCCTCTTTCAGACTCCACTCTAAGAGCGATGGGAAGCTGTTCAAGGGTTTTAAGCAGAGAAATGGGTTGAAACTGGGCATGGTGGTGCACACCTGTAATCCTAGCACTCAGGAGGCTGAGGCAAAATCATTGTGCAGCCTGAGCTATACAGTGAGACCTTGTCTTAAAAGAATGGAAATGTGAGAGAATTGTTGGTTGAAGAGACTGGTGGTGTAGCTCAGTGGTAGAGCTCTTGCCTAGCATGGAGGAGTCAGTGGGTCCCACCCCTAGCACAGCAGTGTATATATACAGCATGTGTATATGTGTATACGTTTATGTACGTATGCATGTATATGTATATGTGTGTACATATGTATACACGCAAATAACAATAGTTGTTCTGGGCACAGTGGTGTATACCTGTAATCCCAGCATTCAGGAGGCTGAGGCAGAAGAATCAAGAGTTCAAAGCCAACCTGGGCTACAAAGCAAGACCCTGTCAAAAAAAAAAAAGGAAGGAAAGCAGAAGAATTGATTGAAACCTCCCCCATTTGCACATGTAGGGTAATATTTTATGTTGGTACACTGTAGCAGCTATAAAATTCATTTACAGACCTAAATGAAACCTATGAATCCAGCATTCTGAATACGAATGTTATCTTTGTTATTCAGTAAACACCCGTGAATGTGATTAGAATCACTCTTTTGCAGTCCTAGGACAGTGTTATTCAGTAAACACCCGTGAATGTGATTAGAATCACTCTTTTGCAGTCCTAGTGACAGTGTGTGTCTGTATGCATACTTATTCATGAGAATCCATGAAGTCTAAATGTAATGTGAGCATTAAATGTTTATTTCCACAGGCTGTTGGCTCTTTCACCCCTCCTGGCATATGTGTATTTACAAAAGAATGTTTGAAAGTGAAAACAAAATCCTGACCAAAGAAGGTGTTACCCATTTTTTGGAGCTGTATGAGACAAAGTCTCTTCCATTTTCACCAGAACTTTCTGAGGTAATGACAGCCTGTGCCCTTCCTTGTTCCCTTTGTCAAGTATAGAGGCCTTCATTGTATTGCATGTGGTCTTCAAAAAAGTGCACTGTATCAGCAAGGGACATTTTATGGTTTTGCACAACACAGATGCTGTGTGTGCAAGCATAGGTGTCCTGCTGGGAAAAGCTCTGAGTGGTGGGCCTTGTACCAAGGCCATTGTGAAAAAAGTAGCTCTCTGCCCTCCATCTTCCGGACCACATCAGTCCATGGCTTGCACACTGGTGTTGAAGCTTGAGCTCTGGATCATGGTTGTTGTTTAGATGGAGCCGAGTCAGTCTGCTCCATCACTATCTCCCATCTGAGCTCCATGTGTTAGCTTTTGTTCCTGGTGGTCAGGAGCCACACGGAGTGAAGAGCCTGGGAGGATGGCCACTTGTGTTACAGTGTCCTAGGATGCACAGAGCACTTCACACTTAGAGCTACCAGGGGTCTGACCTCATGCTGCCAAGTTGAGACGCATCCAGTTTCTGCATTCTCCCATCCTTCTGGTACTTTGTGAAGCTTGCGTTTTTTGACCAGGAAGATTTTTGGGATATAGATTTCCCGCTTTATCTTGGGGCTGGAGTTTGCACTTAGGGCTTTCCACTTACAAAGCAGGCACTCTATTGCTTCAGCCATGCCTCCAGTCCATTTTTGCTCTGGTTATTTTTGAGATGAGGTGTCTTGAACTATTTGCCTGGCTCGGCCTCCATTTATGATCCTCCCAATGTCAGCCTCCCAAATAGCTAGGATTACAGGAGTGAGCCACTGGATCCTGGCTGAGGGTCTTTCTGTTTTTCCTGTTACTACCTGTAACCTACTCTGTGGCCTATTACTACCTGTATTGTTGGGGTTCACTTTCCTCCCCCATGACATGAGCTTTCTTAGTGTGCCATAGGTTGTTATCAGGTGGGAATACCCTGCGCTCATTACTTTGTCGTCTGGTAGAACTAGGGTGCCCACCATGACCCTCAGTGAATTCAAACCAATAGTGTAGGAGGTCAGCTTTGCTTGTCACAGCTCTTCTGCGACCCCATGGTGGGTGTGCCACCAGGCTGGTTAGTACGCAGTAGAACTTAGTATTGATCACATGTCTTTTTGTTTTGTTTCTGAAGTTTATTGTTGGACCGCTAATGGATGCACTTTCCGAGAGCTCTCTGTACAGCAGGTAAGCAGGTGTTCTCTTATTAAGCTGTAACGGAGTACCATGCATTTGATACGTGCATTTGTTACGATGCAGGACCGTATTGTTTAAAAAGTGCATTTGATACGTAATCTGCCTCATAGACAGTCAGCTGTTTAAGACCACGTGGCAACTTCTGTGTTTGTATTTTTCTTAACTTCTATTATCTATTACACATTCCACTTTTTTTCTTGTTTCCTTTTGTCCCTTACAGCCTCTTGTTTCTTGCTTTCTACTCGTTTGGAAAAGGCAGGGATTTTACCTAACTAACATATTTACATTTTGGACTTTTTTTTTTTTTTTTTAAGAAAAGTCTCTCTGTGTAGTCTAGGCTGGCCTTGAACTTGGGATCCTCCGGCCTTACTTTCTTAAGTGTTGGGATTACAGGCATGTGTCACCAAACCCAGCTGTCCTTGTTCTTTTAACTTTCTGTTTTGACCTAGTCTGACACTTAACAGAAAAGCCCTGGGAATAAGACAAAGTGTTGCTGTTTATCTCTCCATAGTTACTAATTTGTTCAAGTGTTGCCTCTTTCCAGGTATATTTATCTTTCTTAGCTCTGTTTGTGTACAACACCTACCCATCTATATCTGCTTCAGTGGCTGCCTGTCTGTCCATCCATGCATCTACCTGCCCGCCAGTCCATCCATGCATATTAAGAACCATAAATCTACATCACTGCACCCAGTTTCCCTCCAGTACACAGGGCTCAGCCTAACCTTTTTCCTTTCATATCTGACGGTGGCTGCCCGGATCCTAAGATGTCTGTATATTTATTTGCCTTTGGAAAAGGTCAGCAGAGAGAAATTTGTCAGTGTCAGCCTTAGTCTCATTTGGGGAGAATTACGTAGACTCCTAAAGTATCTCTTCCAGTTTCTCCTGCTTTTAAAGTCACGTTGTCTCTCTAATACTGATTAAATTTATAGCTATAAGTCTTCTGTTTGGCAAGCCCCTAAACAGAATCCCCTCCATGTCTTGAAACATACTGAATGTCTGTGCCAAGTTACAATAATACTGACTTCCAGTGTCTATTTGATAAACACCGACACGGTGAGACCGCTGGAGAGCGTTGAGCAGGTGGAGGAGCTGGTTTCTTACTGAGTACCTGGGTTTCCCGCACTTCAGGGCATGCGGGAGCAGAAGGACAGCAGAAAACCATGACGAGTTGATGTTGCTAACTAGAGCGCCTGCAGAAGTGACTTATTCCTGACACGCGTCTTTGCTGTGAATGTCGTTTTTTACTTAAGACATAAAGTCATTGAATTAGAAGTTGGAAACAATAAAACATCACTTAAAGTTATTATTATTTTTATGATACTACTTAGCAAGATTCCTGTGTGTGTAAAAGAAAAGGAAAGTATCATAAAAAGGCTCCCAGGCCTCCTTAGGATAGGAAGTTATGACTGGAGGTCATTCTCCTAGATGGTTCTGGTGTTTCTGTAGCCAGACAAATTTCTTGGAATTGAACTGAAAAATAAAAGATTGTCTGATCATTGTATTGCTGCGAGACTGGGGCTACAGTCCATGTAGACTAGTTGTAGCATGCTCACTTACAAACAGATTTGAAATATGTGTTTCTTTCCCCTCTTTGTCTGTAGGTCCCCAGGCCAGCTGGTAGGAAGTGGTTCTCCACTGGGATTAAAATTACAGAAGTTTTTAGTCACTTATGTTTCCCTTCTTCCAGAAGAAGTAAAGAGTATGTGTCAGCAAAGAGGTTTTTACTTTTGCATTTTCCTTTTTAATTTTTAGTGTTTATTGGTATGAGCTCTGTGGTGCGAGTGTTCTCATGTGATTGGGATCCTGTGATCTGCCCGTCTTGTCACAGTCACACAGGTGGCTCTCGCCGGTGTTGGCAGTGGTGGTGGAGGGAGCTGCCGTGGGTGTCTCGTCCATCTGTTTATTAAACTAGATTGGGGGAAGAAAGAACTGGTTTTAGGAAAAAGTAGCAAGTGGACTATATTGTGGCAGTTGTCCTTTCATGGACACTGTCTTAGAAAGACAAAAAAGAAGAGTACACTTGTTTTTCTAAGAAGTATCCTAGATCAGGTGAGTTCGGGAGCCCAGCATGTTTTTGCTTGTTGAGAGGACTTAACTCTGCTTTCTGAGTCCTTTTTCATGTCTGCCTGTGCGACTAACAAAGTGACCCTTATTTGTGTTTAATCTGCATTGGGCTCAGGGCCAAGCACAGCACACACGTTGGTGAGTGTTGGCTGAATGTGAAGGGAAGCTTGACCATTGTGCCTCCCTGTGTCACGAGTGAGGGGTCAGGCACAAGACCAATTTCCAGAGAACATCTCAGGTGTATCTAGCTTTGTGCTGGCTACTTTAGAAGTTATAGAATACATATAACACTGTTTTAGGAGATGAGCTTTCTTGGAAGTCATTCTGCAGTGCTGATTTGTAAAACTAGGTGTTTTCTCTGACTGTGTGACCCAGCGTCCTCAGGCAGCCACACTGTAGCAGAGTGGAAGCGTGAGCCTCTGTGATGCCATCCAGGGAGAGAGAAGCAGCAAGGAAGGTCTGCGCTTAGCACAGAGTCCACAGTCCCCTCCACCAGCACTCTTGTCCTGTCTTTCCTTAGCACTTCAGAAAAATGGCTCCCAGCAGGAAAAACTTTACTTTTTTTTTTTTTTTTTTTAACAAATACAACTGCGTGTGGTTATCAGGATCCCCACAAAACAGTGGAATACATGACTTACTAAATAGGAATGAAATGTTAACATCGACGTTTGTTTCACAATAGCTTTACTGACATTTAATTCACATCCTACAAAACTGTTCAGCCAGCTGTCCTTTTAAACAGTTCAGTTCAGTCATGTTTAGTACATTCACAGATTGTACAGTCATCACACTATCAGATTCCAAAATACTTTAATCAACCCCCAAAAAGAAGCCCTGCACCCACGAGCGGTCACTTATTCCACCGCCTTCCTGGCCCCCCCACCGCCCCCAGCAGCCATGAACCCACTTTCTGGTCCATAGATTCATGCATCCTGAGCGTTTCCTGTAATGGACTCGAGCAAAATATGGCCTAATTTTAGGTCTGGCTTCTTTCCCTCGGTACAGAGTTCAGAGTGCATCCATGTTGTGACGTGCATCAGTTTTTCCTCTTTGTGGCTGAATAATACTCCACTGTGTCGACAGTCCACATTTTGTTCTCCCTTCATCAGTGGGCGGGTGTTTGTATTGTTCCACCTTTTTGACTACCAGGAGTAAGGCTGCTGTGAATATTCACATAAAAGTCTTTGCAAGGACTCCACTTCACTTCTGGGTGTGTGTCACCCGTGGAGTTGCTGGGTCACGTGTAGATTTGCGGGCTACAGTGTCTTGCCTTCCCCAGCAGCGTGAGGCTCCAGTTCCTCCACAGCCTTCCTGGCCCCTGTCCCTGTCCCTGTCTGTCCTTTTGATCCCAGCCTTCCTGGCGGGTCTGAAGGGGCTGTGACCTGCACTTCCCTGGTGACAGATGGCACCGAGTGTGTCCTGAGTGTGTGTGTATTGGCAGTGGTGATACTTTCACAACTTTTCCTTCCAGGCGGTTTCCTGCTGACGTTTGTTCAGAGGATGACAAGCAGACACTGGTGTGCGGTGCCCATTCTGTTTCTGTCTGAGGCTTTGGCCAGTGTCCCAAGATGCAAGGTCCTGGGCGTGGAGGGGCTTCTTGCGCTCAGGTAACCTCCACAGCCTGCTCACGTGTGGCTTTTTGTCAGTGTATTTGTGTTTCCTCCTGCTCTCCTTGTGATTTTACCTAATACCATTTTATATAAGAAAAAAATGTTATTTAGGGCTGGTGGAGCGGCTCAAGGAGCAGAGCACCTGCCTGCAAGCATGAGGTCCCGAGTTTAAACACCAGTACTGAAAAAAAACTCATTCATGTAGTTGAACTTACTTTGTTTCATGAATGACTAATTTAAATACGTGCCATGATACATGCTACTGGGCTTTGACCACCTTCAGGCCGGTAAATTTTTTTAAATTATGTTAGTAGAAAATGAAGGCTAAAATACTGAATAATGATGTTGAGTAGAAGGTATTTCAGAGGCCAGGTGCAGTGGTTCACACATGTAATCCCAGTTGTTTGGGAGTTGGAGATTGGGAGGATTGAGGTTTGAGGCCAGCTTGTACAAAGTGTTAGCAAAATCATGTCTCAACGCAATAGCTGAGCATGGTGGGATGCTCCTGTAATCCCAGCTGTTTGGGAGGCATAGGTGGGAGGATCGAGTCCAGCCTGCCTCGGCGAAATATTCAAGACCCTATCTGAAAGAATAAAGTAGAAAAGGACTGGGGGTGTGGCTCAGGTGGTACAGCACCTGCCTGACAAGCATAAGGCCCTGAGTTCAAACTCCAGCGCTGTCAAAAAGTATGTCAAAAAAAATACAAAATTCTTACTCTAAAAGTATCTTCATTTACAGTCGTTAAAACAGATTTACATCATGTTAAACTTGACCTCTGTTAGAAGCCGTAGCGGACACAAAGGCTTTGCAAGTCAGCTGACGTGCGTTAGAGGACGCAGGCATTGTCAGTAATCACAGGTTGGTAGGCGTGTCCTGGGAACCTGCTGTGCGTTTCTGTTTCGGTGCAGGGATGTCGTCCAGTGTACCATGATCACGCACCAGATTCTGCTGAGAGCCTCTGCACAGTGCTATCTTCTCCAAACCGCCATGAACTTGCTGGATGTGGTAAGTTTACCTCTGGCGCTCCCGTTTACTGGTCTTTCTTAGTGAGCGGGTTGCAGAAATGAGTAGCAGGCCTGTGGAAACACCATCAGAAAAGCCTGCTGATCAGGGTGGCCCTTGGTGACATCAGGGAACTTGGTTTGGGGGAGGATTTACACCATCCTAGGTGATAGGAGTGGCACGCTGTACAGGAGGTGTTTCTGGAAAACGCCTGCTTTCCCTCTGGAATCAGGAACTCTGTGCGAGGCACAGGCTGTCTGCAGTAGTAGGGCCCAATATAAACCCAGGCACCGGGTTCCTCGCCCGTGTCCCTGGCAGTGGCATTCCACGTGCTCTGTCACAGCTTGGCCTGGGTGACTCACCAGGGCGGGAGCTGGTGCCTGGGTTCCTCCACGCTTTTCCCTCATCTTCCAGACCCAACAAGTCTGCTGGCCAGAGCACACTGTCGGAGAAGCGTGGGCAGTAACCATGGCCTCGGCTTTGCGGGTCGGTGGTCTCTGGTACAAATTCCGCTCTCTTCCTTTGTAGACTAAGGTAGCCACAGACTAATGAATAAACGGTGTGCTGTGGCTCACCAGGACTTCATTTACAGAGGGCTTGGAGTGGTCTCGTTGCCCTGCCTAAAGCCTGGAATCTTAATTCCAGACCTGTACCCTTCAGGGGATGAGATACCGTGGTGGTTTTCTTTAGTCAGGTCATTTTTGTTACTTTGGAAAGAATCGCTTTTTGTGTGGCGGTGCATACCTGTAATCCCAGTGCCTGGGATGTTGAGGCAGGAGGATTTTGAATTCAAGGCTTGTCTGGGCTACTTCATGAAACCGACTCTGTTTCAAAAACAAACAAAAGACACTTTTTGATTGGAAGTAATTTCTTTTTATAGAATAGTATATTTCAACAAAAAAGATTATCTTTTCTCAAAGATAGTACCTCAATTTTAAAGAAAATATATTTTTAAAACAATCTTTGACTTTATATAATGGAAGACGGAGGCCTCATGATGGATGTGTTCCCTTTAAAGGTGGGCTCACGTTTTCTTTTGAAAATGCAGTTGGCTTTGGGTTTAACTAGTGATACCCTGCTTCAGGTCAGTTGCTTGCTTATACAGTGATCGTATTTTATTTAGTTAACATTTTTCGGCTGTTCTGTGTTTGAGACAGGGTCTCGCTGTGTAACCCCGCTGGCCTTGTACTTGCGAGCCTCCTGCCTCAGACCCTCCCCTCACTTACAAGTTTTAAACAGAGTACTTTTCTTCAACGCCCCAACTAGGAGAAAGTGTCGCTCTGTGATGTCTCAACTTTTCTCATGTCCCTGAGACAAGAGGAGTCCTTAGGACGGGGAACCATATTGTGGACAGAGGTGAGCTGGAAAACAAGGTCTCCCAAAGCTTTATAAAAAGTCATTTTCTAGTTGTGCTCCTTGCTGTGTATGTAAAGTGTAACAGTTGCCTTGCTCCACCAGAAGCGCTTTTGGCACATGGCATATCTGCTCTGGTTGGCCTTGACTCGTGCTGCTGAGCTGAGAGAGGAGTGGGTGCTAGGGGCAGGACTCTGTTTCGGATGAGGTGTGTTAGGAGGAGGGACTGTCTTAGCCCCAAAGGCAGTTCATCAACAAACCTGTCCCTTTTCTGTCACTTGAAGGCACTGTCCTTCACCTAGCTGCAGGCCTGACGGTTTTTGTTTTTGTGTTTTTTATTCGTACACGTTGGTTGTTCAGAGTAAGTTTCATCGTGACATTTCTATCTGTGCGTACAATGTGCTTGGATCATGTTCAGTTACCCTTCCGATCCACCTCCACCTCCCTTTCCCCTCCTCCTTCCTTGGTCTTGGTGTCTCCCTTTTATCTTCGTGCCCTCCTCCCTTGTCCTCCCCCAGATTGCAAAAAATGAGAGAAAGCACGCAGCCTGGTCTTTGTGGGACTGGCGTATTTCATGGTGGTCTCCGGATCGATCGCTTCTAGCAAGCAGCATCAGTTTCATTCTTCTTCGTGTCTGAGTTAAACTCCACTGTGTGCATATGCTCCCATTTTCTGATCATTTGTTGGTGGGCACCTAGGCTGCCTCTGTAATTTGGCTGTTGTGAACAGTGCTGCGATGGGTGTGCAGGTGTCTGTCCTAAGCTGACTTTGACTTTTTTCAGTGTATTTTTTTTTTGAGGGAGTGGTATTGGGGCTTGAACTCAGGGCTCTGTGTTTGCTAGGCAAGAGCCCGACCACTTGAGCCACTCTGTCAGCCTAGAAGTGGAGCATATGGAAGTTCTAGTCTTAATTTTTTGAGGATGCTCCGTATTGATTTCCACAGTGGCTGGACTTGTTTACATTCCCATCAGCAGTGTTTGAGAGTTCCCCGTGTCCCCAAACCCTCACCAGCATTTGCTGTTTGTTTTTTCTTGATGACAGCCCCTCTGAGTGAGATGAGATGGAGTCTCCATGTCGTTTTGATTTGCATTTCCATTTTTTCATGTATTTATTGGCCATTTAAAAAGTGTCTGTTTAGTTCATTTGCCTGTGTATTGATTGGGTTATTCTTTAGTTTTTTTTAGTTCTTTGTATAGAAGAACTAAATGGATGAATGTCTGGTAAAGACTTTTCTTTCACCTGTAGGTCGTCTCTTTACTCTGTTGATTGTTCCTTTTGCTGTGCAGAAGCTTTTTAATTTACTGTAATCACATTTGTCAGTATTTGCTCTAAATTTTCTGAACTGCTGACATTTTAGTCAGAAAGTCATTGCCTGTACCTGTATCTTCCAGTGTTCCTAGTGTGTTTTCCTAGTTTCAGAGTTTCAGCTCTTACGTTAAGGTTTCTGATCATTTCTGAGTTGATTATTGTACAGAGTGAAAGACAGGGATCTATTTCAGCCTCCTACATGTGAATGTCTAGCTTTGCCAGCATCACTTGTTAAAGCAATTCTTTTTTCAGTGGGTGTTTTTGGCACCCACATCAGCAATCAGTGGCTGTACCTGTGTGGGCTGATTTCGGGGTCTTGTGTTCATTGGTCTGTGTGTCTGTTGTTCCTGTTTTTGTTGCTGTAATGGGGTTTGAAGCCAGATACCGTGATACGTCAGCATTGCTCTTTTTGCTCTGGATTGTTCTCGCTCTTTGAACTGATTTCCATCTCTGTAAAGAATGTCATTGGAATTTTGATGGGGATCGAGTTGAATTTATACATCACTCTTGGTAACACCTGTGATCATTTTGACACTCTCTGCTCACCACCTGCTAGTGTCTTCAGTTTCTTTCTTTGTGCTTCACAGTTTGCATCGTAGAGGTCTTACTGTACATCTTTGTTAAAGGTATTGGTCTTTAACATCTCTGGTTAAGTTTATGCCTGGGTTTTTCTTTTGTTGAGGCTATTGTGAATGGAATTGCTTTTCTGATTTCTTTCTCAGCTTATTGGTCTTTGGTATATAGAAAAGCTTCTGTTTTTCATGTTGATTTTGTATCCTGATATTTTCTGAAAGTATCAGATCTGAGAGTTTTCAGGTGAAGTCTTTAGGGTTTTTTCAGTATAGGAACATATTTACAAATGAGGATAGTTTAATTTCTTCCTTTACTATTTTTATTCTTTCTTTTTTTTTTTTTTCAGTACTGGGGCTTGAACTCAGGGCCTACACTTCAAACCACTCCATCAGCCCTTTTTTGTGAAGCGTTTTTCAAGATAGGTCTCACAAACTATTTGCACGGGTTGGCTTTGACCCTTGATCCTCCTGATCTCTGCCTCCTGTGTAGCTAGGATTACAGGTGTGATCCTTAGTCTGCATTTCATTTAACTTCAGCTCTGATCTTTATTATTCTCAACTTGCTGCCTTTTTTCCTGAGTCATCATGACCCCTGGTGGTTATTCGCTGTCTTTGTCCTTGACCTCTCCAGCCTCCTCGAGGTCTCTCTCCTGGTCTTTCGTAGCTCCTTGGGGATCTGTTTAACAAGGAAAAAACATCAGTTGTGTCTGAGCCTGGGCAGTCTGTGAAGAGGCTTATTTGACTTACAGTTGTGGTGGCTGGAGAATCCCAATAGCATGGCTGTAGCCTCCTGCAGAGGCCCTGGCATGGTGGAGAATCGGAAAAGGTACTGGTCCGGTGCAGAAGGGCCAATGCTGTTGGATATCCTTGCTGCATGAGAACCACTCACTCCTGAGACCAGCTCTATCTCTTTGGAGGATAGACCCCACCACCCGTCCACTTCTCACCAGGCTCCAGCCCTTAAAGGCTTAAAGGTCCCACCACCACGCTGGGGATCCAGCTTGCCTGCCGCTCATGAGCCTTTGGGATCCACATTCACACATAGCCAAAGCGTGGCACGGGTTCATGTGTATCTTGGTGTAGATTTGACTTGTTTTGTGATATTGCTCTGCAAACATCTGGTTGTTTTTCCTCTTTATGTGCAGTTTTGGGTGACCTTAATGGATGCAGAAAATATTTTTTAAAAATTCTTTTTACCAAGATTCATTTCATAATTATTTCCTTCGTATTTAAATTCATTTATTGAATTGCACATTCAGAGAGAAGGTGTGAAAAGGAAATTGTGAACATGTTTAATTCACATTTAGATTCATATTTAAATTCACAGTTATATCTGTTCAGTGATTAATTATGAAATTCTGTGACTTTTGTTTTTGCCAGTCTCCTAAAATAAATAATGGAGAAGTACTAGCATTTCTGTTTAAGAATAATGTATAAATATGTATGTATTTGTATATATTTTGTTTGTTGGTTGGTTTTTGGTCCTGGGGCTTGAACTCAGGGCCTACACCTTGGGCCACTCCACCAGTCCTATTTTTTTTTTGTGGGTTTTTTTGAGATAGGGTCTTAAGAACGATTTCCCCGGGCTGGCTTTGAACTTTGATCCTCCTGATCTCTGCGTCCTGAGTAACTGGGATTACAGGCATGAGCCATGGCGCCAGGCAGTGTTTTTTAATATGCACATATGATAGAAAGTAAACTTGTGAGAAGAGCAGGAAAATTAATTCCAACGTATTTAAATTCCACTTGCTCTCAAGAATAAAAGTTCTTGTTTTATATAGAAAGCTGTAAAGAATTTTAAGGTAATTTGTCTTATATAAGGTGTGATTTTGTTAGAGAGTTCTTCAGAACACCTTATGAAAATGCATTTTACATCAGGTACTTCAGAACATTCAGCAAAATAATAAGCTATTTATTGTCACACTGAGTTCCACAGACAGTAGAGACCAAAAAGAAGTGTATATGTCTATACAGTCGTTGCGCCCCATAGCCACGTTTCAGTCTACTATGGTCTCATAAGATTTTAGTGGACTGTTGTATTTATAATGTTTTAATTAAATTTGGTTTATTGTAGAGGAAAGAAGATTGGCTTAGGGAAATTAGAAACCCTTTGTTCAGTTAGGTTTTTAAAATAAGTGATCCATAACTATTTTCTTTTCTAGCTCTGTGACTGGTTGCGGGTTAATGAAAGGTATTTTAGGCAGTCCTCCATTGGCGGCTCCAATGGACTCTGTGAGACATCTTTAAATGCTTACGTGAAGAGCCTCGTTCATGAGTGTGTTCAGTCCCCTGCTTGGGAAAGTAAGTTTCAAAGAACTTTTCACTGGTTTTTCATATTGAGATTTCGGGCTAAGCAAATGTGTGTTGACTTACGGAGTTCAAACTTGTATTTCAGTCAAATAATGTAAGTAACAGTGAAAACACTGCCTCCAACTGTACTTCATCTGTTCTGAGTCTTGAGATGTTAACTGTCTCAGATGTTTTATGGAGCTGTTAGGTCTCCAGAGTGCGAACTGGATGCATATAAGTTTACTTACTAATTTATTCTTTCGTTTTCTTTTCTTTCCTTTTCTGTTCTCTTTTCTTATTTGGTGCTGAGGTTTGAACTCGGTCTCCAGCTTGTTAACAAGTGCTCTACCATTTGAGCCTCACCCACAGTCCTTTAGTTGTTTTCCAGATAGGGTCTGGGGTAGCAGGATTACAGGCCTGAGCCCATTACTGATGTGTCCTGTAGTGCAAATGTGTGAAAGTAAATGGTTCATCTTTGTTTTCAGAGCATTACATTTAGAGCGAACCGAGTATAAGAAATAATTTTAGAGAAAAAACTTGGAAGAATGTTTTTGTTCAGTTTTTTCTTTTCATTACATACTTTGTGAAGACCTTCTTTTTTTAAAAAATGTGGTACTAGGAATGGAACCCAGGGCTTCTTGCATGCTAGGCAAGTACTCCCCTGACCTACATCCTAGGCTCCAAAGACCAGTTTTGTAAAGACCCCTTACGTGGAAGACATAAAGGGAAGAAGTCTTAGCAGTTCATTCATTAGTATTCTTTCTGCATTTCTGATGCTGCTTCAGTGAATTCAACGTGTCTTAAATTCCTCACTTTGTCTCACACCAGGTCATCTTCATCTACTGATTCCTTTGACCATGGAGGAGGTCTTCAATGATGACATACATAGTCATCCCTTTAAGATGCCTGGCTTTACCTTCTGGGAAAATCTCTCTTGTGCTTTATTCTTAATCGTCTAGTGAATTTCCTGTGCTGTTACTTGTAAGATTCTCTTGTTAGGCCTGTGAAAGTAAATAACCTTTTACCGCACTCCAATAAGTAGGTCCAGCAGTTCTCAGGACACCCAGTGCTGGTGTCTTCATCCCCCCGTCCTCGTCCTCCTTCTGGTCACAATCCTGGGGGCTCTCGGCTGACATCTGGAAGCCTCTGGCCTGCTGGCCTTGCTCTACTCTGCTTCTCCCACGGTTTCTTTTCACATTGTTCTTCGGGACATCTTTTCGAAGTTTCAGTCTTACAGAAATCCCCTCTGCTTCTCTAAGTGCATTCACCCTCAGTGGCTTCCTGTTGGTTTAGGCCAGAGAGAAAAGTCCTCTAGTGGCCTGCCAAGTGTCCCTGTCTCTCCCCCACCCGTGTCTGTCACCTCACTTAGGTGCACAAGGGCATCCTCCTCTGTTTCCTGGAGTGGGCAATGTCTCTCCTGCTGGGGAACCCGACAGGCTCTTTCTTCTGTTAGGAAGTCCTTGTCTCCATTCACTGAACTCATTCCTTCTCATCCCAGATTCATTTCCTCAGGGAACTTCCTTCTGCTCCTCATTCCAGGACCCGTCCTCCTAGCCTGCATCCAGGAGCTCTGTACCTCTCCTGATGGCTTTGCTGAGACTGCAGTTTTGTGTTCATTTGCTTGTGGTTCGATCAGCGCTTTTCTCTTGTACTGTACCCTAACTTCTTTGAGCACAGGACCAAGTGTCTGCCCAATCCAGGCCAGTGCAGGGCAGACACACAGGTTTGTTTTTATTTAAATAATGAGCAGTGTTGTACCTCAGCTATGTTTCTCTAATAATTTAATATTGATAAGGAGTAGTCACCTAGTTGGCGTTTTGTTTTGTTTTGGGTGATACTGAGGTTTGAACTCAGTGTCTTTCTACTTGAGCCATACCCCTTGCTGGTTTGTTTTTAAAGTGTCATCCTTGAAGGATTTTGTTAATGCTTTGTAAACGTCAACTTTTGTTCTTCAAGCAGGAGAAAGCTGCTCTATGCCTGACGGGTCGGAAGCCAGGCTTACAGCCCTGATGGTGTTGCTGGCTGTGGATGTGGAAGGAAGGAAGGCCCAACACAGGCAAGTGGTTCTTTAATTGGAAAGAAAAGCTAACCAGAGTTATGACGTGCATTCAGACTTTTCGGTGGTTGGCACAGAGTTGCCATATAACATTAAAGGACAGCACTCACACATTGGTAATATCCTAAACAGTGTTTAAAAATTAGCTGAGTAAATAGGAATAGCATTTATTAGTCTTCTCATGGTGCCAAATTAAATGTTAAATTTAACAATTTAATTTTAAATTAGAGAAGGATGCAATAATCACTGACTTTGTACCAGTATTAGAAGAATGAATTATAAGTTACAAGATTAGGTAAGGATGTTTATTGGATTTAACTCCTTATACATGCATAATTTTAAAAATGGTAATAAAGATAAAGCAACCTGCTGAGCTCAGTGGCTCACACCTGTACTTCAGCTGCTTGGGAGACAGATGGGAGGTTCCAGTCAAGGCCAGCCCAAGCGAAACAAAGTTAGCAGCACCCTCTCTCCAAGGGCATGCTGAGTGTGGTGGCCGTGTGTCACCCTAGCTGTGTGAGACGCAGGAGTGAATCACAGCCCAAGGCCAGCCCTGGGCAAAAACCATGAGATTCTATCTGAAAACCAGCCAGGAGTGTGTGTGAAGCGGCGAGGCCCTGAGTTTAAAGGGCCAGTACCGAGGCCGGGGGAGAGAACGTGAATGGATGAGCAGCCTTATTACGTGTTTATTCTATTTGCACGGCACGTAGTTCACCCAGTTGACCTCAGATCTCTTTTCTGGACAATGTCTTAGTATAAAGTTGGTCATAAGAGTCGTACATCTTCAGGATTTTTTTTGTGTCTTGTTTAATGTGTCATTTCCGTGACTCACTTAGGCTCGCTCTGTTTTGCTCTTCTGTGTCATGAAGCTGGGCCTCAGCAGTTTGACTTGCACATAAACAGGGCATAGGCTTCATTTCCCCCAGAGATTCTTTCTTGACTGTCTTCTCCAGCGAGTCACTGCTCACGAGAGAGCCCAGACAAAAGATCAGTCCCCACAGGTGCTGGGTGTTTTGCTCACTGAAGAGTAACTTTGTCTGATGGCTGCACCGCACTCAGCACTGTGGTTCACAGGTCATGGACGAGGATACTTCCTTCAGCTTTTGAGATGGTCGATGTGGCTTGTCTTTATTGTCCAGTGAAAAGCAGAGGACACAGAATGTGCTGAGGATATTCTTAGATCCCCTGCTGGATGCACTTGGGAAGCTTGGCACAAACGCCTACATGCCCCTGCTGAGGACGGACAGATGCCTCCAGCTGCTGGTGAGGCTGCTCCATACCTGCGGGCCGAGAGGGTCCAGGACCCAGGACGGTGAGGACGTGGGGTCTGTGTGAGTGTCCTGCTCAGGACATTACTGATACTCAGAGTGAGAGGAAGTTCCCGGCGGTGCTGTGGCGCTGGGAGAGATGATCTAGGGTTCTATGTGCATTGATTGCTGTTGACTTTTCCAGTGATTTCATTTGCTGCTGCTGCTGCTGCTTTTTTATTTATGCTTGTTTATTGATTTCCAGACCATTGAAAACAACCACTTTGCCATGTTTGTGAAGCAGGGCCCATTTCTGACTGTTGCCATGCTGGGTGCTGGCATATGTTCAAGTGTGAGAAAGGCAGTAATTTTGTATTTATTTTAACTGTGCTCATCTCTGAGTACTGTTAAAGTTGAAAATGCTTCATACAGACAGTGTAGTGGTGGAGATGGAAGCCTTACTTGTGCTTTTCTCCCCTTAAACTAAGATACATGTAAAACAGCAGCAGAAGACGCTTTGCGCTGACGGGACTCTCAGCTCCAGGCCGTTCTTATTCAGTTGCATAACTGAACCTTTGAACCTTTGGCCAACACCTCCCGCCCCATGGGTTATTTCTTCATTGTGTTGATTGCTTCCTTCGCTGTGTGATCTCTGCATTGCTGAGCTGATAGGTGTGTGCCATTCCGCCCAGCTATTGGTTGAATGAGATGGGGTCCTGAAACACCAGACTGGCCTTGAACCACCATCCTCTACCACCTGGGCTGCCAGGATTACAGGCATGAGCCTCCAGCACCTGGCTTATTGAAGCATTTTTGTAAAAGCTGCTTTTAAGTCCTTGTCACATTATCCTGACACAGCTTTACCCACATGAGCTGGGATTCTCCTGAGTCCTCATGTGCACACAATTTTGCATCTGCTCTACTGTTTGGAACGTTGTGCCATGACACCATGGGTCCTGCTCCGGTCTCGAGGAGAGTGTCAATGTTTCTGTTCCCCTCCTGTTCCGACCGAGCTTCTGTGGGCACCGGTTGCACAGTCTGTGGGCATTTGAATCCCCTGCAGTGCTCTTTGGAACCATGTCCCATGTGCAGGTCTATCGGTTTAGATCCCGTCTGTGCTATGCTGCCTGGCACATGCACATGACAGTCACCCAGGACTCTGCTCCGTACTCAGCCTCTGACCGGCACGCAGGGGCCCAGGCTGCTGCCACCGTCCTGACTCCTGCCTGTGGTTCTAGTCTGTAAGACACGCAGAAGGGGAGTCAGTGAGAGCGCTGCCATCCACTGCTCGTCACCTTCCTGGGTCCTCAGATGCCTCGTGTCCATGCTCCACCATTGTGGTCAGGGAGCGGGGCGGGTCCCTGTCCCTTCCTGTCCAGAGCTGGGCCCTTCCTGACTTTTCAGCTTAGCTTCAGAGTGGCTCTGTAGGAACGAGTTGCTCTTCTGGAATTCATTCTCTATAACTGGTTCACCGTAGCGCAGTTGTATCAGAATCTCTGATGTATTTTGCACCAGAGAGGCTGCTTCTGTCGTTTTAGTGAAATGCTTTCTCCCTACAGATGAGGTGTCTGCTCTTCTCCAGGACTTTGTCTTGACTGCCTCAGAGAGCATGGCTCAGTTCATCCTCCGGAGACTCGCCATGAATGAGCTGCAGAGTGTAAGTCTACGCGGGGCCGGCAGCTTTCTTCATCTTCTCACCAGCCTGTCTTGCATTCTACTCTGGCAGTCAGTCACGGTATTACACGGAAAAGGAAAAGGACCTAACGTGAAGGTGTCTTTAGAACAGCGTTAAGAAGCAGAAATGGCATGGACTTTGGAGTCCCTGGACTCGCATTCTGTCCGTGTTGTTAACTGTGACCTGGGAAAGTTACGTCACTCTTCTGGGCCTCAGTTTCCTTGTCTGCAAAGTGGGGGTCCACATTCCAGGGCTTGGAAACAGCATATTTGAAGTGCTTTGCACATTCAGTGCATTTCTGGGTTTCATACCCATGCGATCTGTTCGGCAGGCTTGGGACCCAGGCTGTCCTTCTTAGGGTAGTTAGGGGTGAGACTGACCTGGGGATGTATCTGTTGTTTCTGGCCTCCATGCCACCGTTTGTTCTTTCCAGGGCATCTGAAAAGAATTAATGAAGTTCCCCCCTCTAGAATACTTTGAAAATACCAGCGTTTATAGAAATGTCTATTAATTTTGTTTGTTTGAATGCTTGGATTGTCAGGAATGTGAGAAAATACACCTACCTAAAGAATGTCTTTTTTGAAAGCCCAATTAAGAACGTAACTATGGTAGCTTGAGCAGGTGTAAAAGTGTAAGAGGACTGGTTTTACACTGAAGGACTTGAGGATTTATGGTAGGAAGGCAAGGAGGTGCAGAGGAGACACCTTTGGAGTGGGGAGTGTTTCTCTTTAGCTCCTTTAAGTCTTTTTTTGGGGCAGCATTGGGGCTTGAACTCAGGAGCTGATGTGTCAGCAGCCCTGCTCTGATCTCACTTTTATCAACCCTGTGACAGCAAGCGCTCTTCTGAAGTAGTTGCTGACTCCTTTGTCATAAACCTAGAGGACATATCCCTACCCTGTATTGTCCTGATTCCTCGGCCTCAGGGGACACTATTGACCAGCCTCCCCTGAATTACTTCTGTAATTCCTCCCCGACATCCCCTTGGCTCTGTCATCAGTTCCATCTCTCCTTGGGATGTCCACTCTCTGCTGTCTGACCTTGGAACCCGGGGCTCTTAAAAGCTTGATGCTGGCCCCTTCTTTCCTCACCCCTTCTTTCCTCACCCCCTCTTCTTTCCCAGTGACTCCTTCACTGTCCTGGCTTCAGTTACTCCAGGAGGCTGTCACTCACCTCCACCCTCTGCTCTTCTGAGCCATTTGTTAACTCAAGTTGAGATTCTCATACAAACCCTGTTAAAAATGGAGCCGCTGTCATCATTCCTGCTTCTCCATGTTCCTTCCTAGGGCTGTTGCACCTTCTAGCTAGTTTCGCGAGCCAAAACATAGGGATGCCTCTTGGCTCCTCATCCTTCACTCTCACCTGGTGTTCAGTCTGTCACCGTGTGCTTCGGTTGTTACCTTCTGTCCACTGTGACCTGGCACTTGGCAGAGTGCCTGGCATGGAGTGATGGCTCAGCATAGCCAGATTAGGTAAATGCATTACTTTCTGTGTGTCTCAGGAGGCCTCCTATGGGGTAGCAATAATCTGTTGGTCATGTAACCAGAAGGCCAGTCATTGTACTTCTCTCACTTCGATCTTTCAAAAACCCTGTGATATATATCACTATCTCCATTTTATGGGTGAAGAATCTGAGGCCAAAAGAGATTAAGTAATTTGCCCTAGGTCACAAATTTAGTGAATGGTAGGGTGGTATTGAACCTGGTTCTCTTTGGATTTATGAGTCAGTAAGACTTGTGTTGAATCTCCCCCCCAGCATACCTGTTTGCCCCGAGATGTGGGCAGATTGTTTAACCTCCGTAGAACTTAGTTTTCTTACTTTGAAAGCTGGACGGTAACCTTCCTATGAGGACGTAAACAAGGGAGTGGTGATGGCTCAGATGCTGTCGTTACTCTTCGTGATGTTCCAGTGCTGGGTGTGGGAGCTGATGGAGCGTAGCTTCTGTGCCAAGGTCTCCTGCGAAGGGCAGAGAACAGAGGGTCCACTGACTAGGAAATGTGTTGTGACTGTGCTGCGAGCCGAGGAGGGTGTCCTGAGGCCTGCATGGGAGACGGAGGGCATGACTCTCCCATCAGGGTCTTGTTTTAGCACTTTTAAATAAACTGTTTCCTTTCCTGCCTGAACTTGTCGTTGTGACCTGACATGTCCTGGCGTTTGTCTCAGATTGCAGATCTGGATCGCTGTCAGTTGTACCTGATGGTGTTCACTGAGCTCACAAATCTGCATGTGAAGATGGGCTGGAAAAGGGGGAACCCCATTTGCAGAGTTATTTCTCCTTTGCAAAACACATCCATTCAGCATCTTCAGGAGTCAGACAATGGGCAGGTAATCCTCTTGGACCCACATGTGCATTTATGTTGACTGAGACGTACAGGGAACACATTTGTTTGGTATGCGATATTTTGAAATCCTAAAAAAGCACTTGCTGACATGTAATTGTTAGAGCAGTCCCCGTAGGTTGTGGCACTGAGAGAGTAGGCTTGGGACACCTATGACAGTATTAAGCAGTCTCAAAATCACAGACAGAGGCTTGTCCTAGGTCTTCCACGCACATTCGCCCAGTATGGGACCTTTCGTCAGCCTGACGTCAGAGCCCTCCACGCTCAGCCTCCTGCCTCAGTTTCCAGCCTAATCACCCGCTGCCCTTCCTGTTCCCACATGCACTATGCTGCACCCTCCAGGTGACCTGTGGAGGTTCTGTCACAGCACCTGTCTGTCATCCCTCCTCAGGGAGGTGTCCTTCCAGAGTGCTCCCGCCTGCAGGCACCTTGTGGGTGTGGGACCTGTGCTCTCTTGCAGGTGCACCGCCTCCTCACGCTCTGTGTCATCTCCATTTCCGTGTTACTTCCATCTTTCCCGTTTGAGGGCTTCATGTATTACATGTGTTCTCCACTAGATTTTAGCGCCTGCAGGCGTTTCTTAAAGGGAACACTGTAGGGCATGGTAGTGAAGTATGCAGGCTTCCGAGCCGGACTCCTGGGTTTGGATCCTGGCTTCTTCCTTGTGAACTGTGTGCCTTTGTATTTCTCCCTGTTCCCCGTTATTTCACCTGCAAGGTGGGGTGTATTGGGGTGATGCAGGATTGAAGCCAGTGCGTATATGTTGAATATGTCACGTGAAGTCCTCGGTGTTAGCTATTTTCATTTAGTGCATGGTAACCATTTAATATAGTTGAATTGCACTGTGGTCTAACTTAGTCTGGGCTACTAATAAAAACAGTTTGGTGGCTTAAATAATATAATTTGTAGAGTGGTTTCTCAAGAACTGTCCTAAAAGGAAATTGTAGAGAAGACTGGTTAATATTTCAACACCATTGGGATTTGAAAAAGGAGAGAGGAAAGTGCAAGTGTAATAACTCTTGGTGTCACAATTATAAGTGAGGTTTCACGGGCTGGCAGCTCAGGTCCCCACAGGCTGAGACTTGCTGCTAGGTGAAAGGTTGCTCTGTGTCCTTCAGGAGCTGACGCTTGGTGATCAGGTCCAGAGAGTGGTCAGCATGGCCACCCTGGCTGCGGTGTGTGAGGCCATTGACCAGCAGCCTGTGTTGCAGCCGGATTCTCTCGATGCTGGGCCTGTGGACAGGTTTCTCTCTGCATTTCCATTTAATCAGATGCTGCAGAAGCCCCGCTGCCAGGAGCACAGCAGGTGCGTTCATCCCCACAGGGGAGGTAGGCGACAGGCATCTTTGCTGTCAAGGGTTGGAACACCTGTGGGGGGGTCGTCTTTTTTTTTTTTGCCATTGCGGTGGTTGGTGATCCCCCATGGACTGATGGAGTGTAGAAAATGAGGCTTCATTTAAATGAAAGGATGTTACACATTTTTCATCTCTTGTCAGAAACCTGCTTTTTCTGCACTGGTTTTCAGTGACTCATTTAAGGTTGTGACAGCGCCTACTTCACAGTAGTTAGAAAATGGAGGTTTATGAGATTACCTTCTGTTATGGTAGAGAGAATATTTGATAGTGACAGTTTCTATCTGTTGTCACTTTTCTGTTTGCTGTAATGAAACACCTGAGACTGGGTAGTTTATAAAGAAGAGGGGTTTGTTTTGGCTTACAGTTCTGGAGGGTGGAAAGTCCAAGGGCAAGGCGCCAGCATCTGCTGGGCTCCTGGTGAGGGCCTTGTGCTGCCTGACTTCCTGGTGGGGAAGTCATATTGATGGGAGAGCAAGGGACAGCCTCGCTCAGCCCACCTCGGTCAGTCTCTCCAGAGGAAGCACTCACTCATGAGGCAAGAAGAGCATTAATTAATCCTTCCACGAGGTCTCCTCCCAGGACTCGGTACCTCCCCCACCCCTGCCCAGCACTGCCCAGCACTGTCCCCACATGGGGTCTGCTGGGGACAGACCCACACAGTCAAACCACAGCATCTCCCTTCTTTAGAAGGCTGTGTGCTGCATGTGACAGAAGGGGAGACAGATTTCAGAGCAACTTTCTTCTTCACTTCAGTGTTTTTGAAGAATCGTCATCTTCCCAAGGATGGGGGAAGATCGTTGCACAGTATATCCACAGCCAGTGGGTCTGCCTCTCCTTCCTGCTGAGAAGATACCACACCCTCATCCCCGCCCCCGAAAGTGGCGCTCTGGAGCCCTACCTCCCCGCTGTCCAGATGCCGGGGCACACCCTGCAGTCAGCACTGGATGCCCTGGCCATCCTCCCTGCTGACCGGGTCCTGCCTGTGTTCCGCTGCATGAAGGTGCTGGTTCCCAAGGTGAGGCGCAGGGAGGCGGGAATGGGGGGGGAGGGGTGCGGACGGCATGGAGTGGCACCTGAGTCTCCGAGGTTAAGTGACAAGTGTGCATCTCTTCCTTTCCTGCCAGCTCCTGACCTCCTCTGAGTCACTCTGCACAGAGTCTTTTGACATGGCTTGGAAAATCACGTCTTCTTTGAGCAACACTCAGTTGACGTTCTGGCCTAACTTTAAAGCTTTCGTTCAGTTTGTTTTCGATAACAAAGTTCTTACCATTGCTGCAAAAGTCAAGGGCCAGGCATATTTGAAAATAAAAGAGGTAATTTCATTTTCCTTTTCGAAAATGACCTGTGGTATGGGAAGAAGGAGGACTACGCTTGTAGGTAGGGGTTAGGTTTGCTTTTATTGTTGTGAACTCAGGGCCTTGTGCTTGCTAATCAGGTGCTCTCCCTCCATGGAGCCATGCCCCAGTGATTTTTTTTGCTTTAGTTATTTTCCAGAAAGGGCCTCATGTTTTTTTCTGGGACCCACCTTTGCTATGGTCCTCCTACCTGTGGCCTTCTGTGTAGCTGGGATTATAACATCAGTACTACTATACCCAACTTACTTATCAAGATGGGGTGTTCCAATCTGCACATCCTGAGTAGCTGGGATTACAGCCATGAGCCATTGCACCTGACCAGGTTTTTCACTCAGTCAGCACATATTCTTGAACCCTCAACTGTCATGAGTAAGAACCAGAAAATCTAGTGACTGCAGAAGATGCACTGGGTAGGAGCCCGACTCATGCCTGCTCGCCAGGTTTTTTTTAGTTCAGACAACGTCTGAAGTCACGAGTTAGTTGGCAACCTAAGAACTGAGAACTCTGCATGAAAACCAGGATTTCCCCTCTCTGGGAAAGTTAGTGATTTCCCAAGGACAGTGGGGCCTGGGATCGAGCGGGGCTGTCACCCTCTGCCATGTCTCTGCCACAGCTGGTCTGGCTTCCACCAGAGTCTGAGAGCCCCATCTGCCTCTACATTTATGCTGGGCTTTTTAGTTTTCCTTATGTAGAGAAAGTATTAATGGCAGCTTTCTTGTTCTGGAGTTGGTCAGTCCTCCACACCTGCGGGTTGCCCACCCATAGATGGGAATGCTAGGGAAGAAACCTGCATCTGTATGGAGTATGTGCAGGTTTTCCTTGTCATTGCTCTCTGAGCCACGCGGTAACAACTCCTGACATGGAGTTTACACTAGATTAGGTTAGACCAAAAGTGTGGGGGGGGAGTGAAAGTGCAAAGGTTACCTGCATGCAAATTCTGTGCCTTTCTATGAGGGCTTGAGCATCTGACCCCACCCCCACCACAGAGCCACACATCCCGACCAACGCAAGAAACACAAAGCCCAGTTCTGTACCCTCAGCCTGTGCTGCCCCAGGTGCCTCGGGACCGTGTTCCTTATCTGCCCCGGGTGTCCAGGTGCCTGGGACCATGTGCTCCTCATCTGCCCCGGTGTCCAGACACTGGTTCTTGTCTGTCTTGGGTGCCTACACACTGTGGTCCTTGTACCTCGGGTGCCTGTAGTCTGTGGTCTTGACGCCTTGGGTGAAAGGAGGCCCTGGCAAAATGCAGAGAAAACTGAAATGCCCAGTGAAGTGTTCCTCTTCACTCTTCTGCCGTTCTGAATGCTCATCACTCCCAGCAACACTGTCTTTGTCTTTATTATCAGAAATGAAAAGTGCTTTCTGTGATTGTCAGTCATCTTGCAGTCATTCTAACAGTGTGAATTTCAGTTTTTAGACTACTCACAGCCTCGTTGAAAGCACCATTTGAAGTTGTTCAAGAAGCAATTTTTAGCAGCACTGATTTTTTTAAATTAGGTTGGTGGGAGGATAACGTGAGTGTTGTATTTCATTCCAGATTATGTACAAAGTAGTTGAAATGTCTGCCATAAAAACAGGGGTCTTCAATATACTGATAAGTCACTGCTGCCGGTCTTGGATGGTGTCTGCTCCCAGCAGACCCCAGCGGTCTTTGTCAGGTGCTCAGGATTACAGCGAACTTGTCCTGGAGGCCTGTGTGTTTGGACCTGTGTTTCGGCGTGATCAGAGGTAAAACGCTGTTATTTCAACTTGTACTTGGGAAGAATTATGTCTGCTTTGAAAGCCTTCCATGAGAAGAGTATAAAGTATTAGCTCACGGTGGAGATTTAATTTTCTTCCCATCTAAACTTGCTCTTTTTCAAATTTTTTCATGGAAAGACTTATCCAGGATGTTCAGGCCTTCATAGAAAATCTCGGACACAACTGTGCGGCCAACGTTGTTTTGGAAAAGTAAGTGTGGTCAGTTTCTCGTGTCTCGACATAAATGAGATATTCCAGACTTAATGTCAAATGACAGATACTCTGTATTTGTCAGATTTAATAAATGTTTAGTAGGGATTTCTGTTACAATATAGAGCAAGCCTTCAAAAATACATTAGAAATTATATTCCTTGCTAGTGTATTTTCTTTACACCTTTCACCATTTTCTAAGATTTAATAAACTGTAAAAACATAAATAAGGAATGGCCTTGAGGATAGCCAGCCCCCACTGCCCTTTGGGGGAAGGATGTCCACCAGCACAAACGCTGTATTCCAGGCTTTTAATGGTTGTAAAATAGTCACCATCTTAACAAATCGATACGTAATACACAAAAATAGAATTACTCTTGGAAAAGCCTTGCGTTTTTTGTTCTTTAGCCCTCTGTTGATGCACAGTTGACATGTACAAAGCTATCTGTGGTCAGTGCATTTGGGGCAGGCTGTAAGGATTTGATTTCTGGGAAAAGACTGCTCTTATCTAACCTTTTAGGTGATATTTTTAAAGCTTGACTAATACCTTTTACTCAAGTTTTATTTTTCCACATAGCTTTCACAAATGGGTGTGTTTGTATTTACAAAGGAGATAAAAAGAGTATTGTGTCATTTGCTCTGGTTTTAGAGTTTAGACATCAAAGGATTGTTGTGTGGAGTTATAAGCAAATTGTTTATTATTCTGAGTGCTAGCTGTTTCAACTCATCTGCCAGTGTTCATTAAATTATGCATTATTTTCATTGTTAATTGTCATCTGTTTTCTTGGCTGGTGTAGTGTAGCCATAAAAGTGACATTTTCTAGTGAATGGTTCCCAAATACTGTGATTTCTACTAGTCAAACGCTTTGTTGTGAATTAAAGTAACATTTGCATTGTGACAGTTAAAAGTGAAACATGGAAGTACTGCTTCACAAGCTCAATTTCTCTCTCCATATTTGGATGCTGGACACGCTGGGTGTCCAGAGCACACAGCGCTTCTGGAGAATATGTTTGTGGCACGTGGTAAAGACAAGCTGTTGTGTTTTATGGTGGCATCCTGCCCACAGTGGGCAGAAGTTTCCTTGGTCCTCTCCTGAGCTGGGGGCTGTTCTGTCCTCAGATAAGATGGGATCGACCGGGACCAGTAGTTTTGTCTCCAGAGGCCTCGGTGAATTTGTGCTCGCTCACGCTGTCTGCACGTGCTCTCCTTGTAATGTGGTCATTGATGTCCTCTGCTCTCTGTTCTGAGTTTAAAAGTATTGCCACTAAGTATGGAGCTACTTGATGTTAGACAAGTCTAGGGAAGACATGGTATTTGTGGTATTTTTGAAACTAATAGTTGATTTGTTTTAAAAATGTGCTAACATAGCTTATCATTTTATATTTTTTAGTAGTAAAAGAGAAGACTGTTACGTGAGGATTTGTGCCATCAAATTCTTGTGTTTATTAGATGGTTCGAACATTCCCCACAAGCTGTTTTTGGAAGATCTCACACTCAAGCTGTTGGATAAAGTAACTACCTCTTTTCATTTAAATTACCTTTGTTTTTAACAAGTCAGAACCCTGCATCTGCTCTGTCTGTCACTAGAACTTGTCTTTCTAGATATTTTTTTACCAGGAGAAGACAAGAAGTTGGTGTTCTGTATTTCAGTTCAGTCTTGGCAATAGCTGGCTGGCTTGGGTTTGGGTCCCTGGGCCTCTAACCTTCCCTGTGGTTCTCCACGCCAGTCCAGGCCTGAGATGTGTATAGTGCCACATCCAGGCTCTGTTTTATATAGGAAGTAGGACAAGTAGGGACAGTCCAGGAGGTGGCAAACTGTGAAGACTCGTCCTCAGGATTGGCTTCTGGTATAGGTCTAGGTTGGGTTGGTGATACTTGTGTAAGATTGATGAAAATTCGTTCTTCACTCAGATGAAAATAATCAGTTAGATTTTTTGGGTCTCCTAGATCATTTATAAAGGGACATTATAGTGTCTGGATAATGGGTGTATTAAATCTAAGGAGAAGACAGAAAGGAGCAGAGCCAAGTGCATAACTCCCTTCCCTTTCAGAGGAACTTGAGATGGACGGAGTGCTCACTCTGCGTCTGATCTTGGACACTTGAGTAATCGTAGGAACCACCTGCATCACTGTTCACTGAAGCTTTGTTACATAAAACTGGCCCGGGTTTGAATCCCAGCATCACCAAAAGAAAACCAAAAACAAACAAAACCCTAGGAAGTACTTTGTGCTCTTGAAGGAAGTGTGGAGATTATTCCAGGGTGCAGGTTGGATGAGGAGGCTTATGAAAATAGGAGAGAATTGATAGGTGAGTAGAGAAAAGAAAGATCTGTCTGAAGGACAGAGGTGGGAAACAAGGACAGAATGGAAGACTGAGCAGAGGGAATTTCAGCACTTTCAGATGAGGGCGCTGACGGGAGGCCTGATGGCGTGGAGGTGCTTCTGAATGCAAGATGGTCAACCCTAGTGATTTCAGCTTTAGTTGTGCTGAAGCTGAGAAATGCAGGAAACCTAAAGTTACATACATCAGAAGAAAATTTCCCAAAAGGAATCCTGATGATCAAGGAGGTTGTGAGCTTTTAATCATTGTCAGGTATCTTTAGCTCTGTATTCGTTTAGCTGAGACGATGATGTTTTACACACACTCAGATACAGAAGGTTAGGGAAGTCGTCAGGGCGAGGAGGGCCACTCGCACATCAGATGACAATGGCCAATGCGTGGCTTTTTCACCTTGCAGCCATTTGAGAACGTCAGCGCTCTTGCGTGCCTTCTTGGCTCAGGAGGCAGAACTTGAAGGGTTATGGTGACAGAAGTCAACCTTGAGGAGCTGAGGTGTGGCTCAGTGGTGGAGCGCTCACCTAGCATGCAGGAGGCCCTGGGGTCAGTCCCCAGACCACAGACAGACAGACAAAACTTTGCAGGAGGCTGAATTTAGGAAGCAGGGACCACAACTGCTCTCTGCTAGTGCAGAAAGGCTTGTTGCTGCCACCTTCTGTTTGGAGGCAGCATTGCACTGTCCACCTGTTGGGTGCCTTCTTCCTCTGGATCAAATTGCAGATAGGTTATTCCACACGGATAGGACAAAGGGAAATAAAATGAGAAGTCCCTCTATTGACGCACTGTAATATGTGTCACTTATCTCACGCTCCTCTCCCCTGTTAAGTGACCCGTATCTCCCAATTCCATGGTTCTTTTATCTAATTAAAAAAAAACTTAAAGCAATCAAATTCAGTGTTTTGAAAAGATATTTAAAAAGGTATCACTCCTTATCTGTCTTATGCTCGTAGCTGCTTTGGGGCAGACAAAAGACCCTGTGCTCAGTTTAAATCTTTGGGACCTTAACACTGATTGCATTCCCATCCCTCTAGGACGAGTTGGTGTCCAAGTCCAGAACTCGGTACTATGAGAACTCTCTACAGCACCGGGTGAAGAACCGGATCTGGCAGACGCTGCTTGTCCTTTTCCCCAGATTTGACCAGGTGTGTGGCTATGATACAGCTATTCAGCATAGGGCTTCATATGAATAAACTGTTTTGTAGAAACTTGTACTTTCTTAAAATTGAGATGGGCCTGGGGCCGTGGCTCAAGTGGGAGAATGCCTGCCTAGCAAACATGAGGCCCTGAGTTCAGCCCCAGTACTGCCAAAAGAAAAAAATTGAGAAGGTAGTCTACTTCAATGTTTACTTCAGTGCATAAAATAGAAGGTATTAAGTCTTTTTCTTACAGAGAGACTGCTAAGACAGTTAGGTATTGTAGAAATACTTCAGATGCTGCTATTGTGGCCTCACCCCATATTTTTTCCTTAAATATTATAACATAACATTTTCAGTGTTTAAAGTGTCATATGCCCTTTGATTAGAAAATGCAGCTGCTTGCTCCCTCCTTGTCACAGCCCTGTTGTTTGGGGTGTAGGCTTGGACTATCTGTCCTCGGGAAGGCAGGTGATTTGTAGCTCCTGGGACAGAGCCATTGTGCTTTGTGGTGGATCTTCTCACCCCAAGTCTCGGGGAAGTTACTCACCCTCTGTGGTGTTTCCCTTTCCCTATGAAAACAGGGAAACAACCCTTCCTCATGGAACTGATATCCACGTAGTCGTGACGTGCTCAACAAGAACAGTTCAATCACTTTCTCCAGTCTTTGCCTGGAGAGTTCTAGATTCCATGGATCAGTTAAGATAGAACTAAAATGGGGATCTTTTAAAAAATTTAAATTAATGCGTTTTAATTAAAATTAACAGCATATTAACAGTTGAATTCACGAACTTTGTTTTTCTTAGCACTTCTCGAATGGAATTATTGACAAGATTTTTCAGGCTGGCTTCACCAACAATCAAGCTTCCATAAAATATTTTATAGAGTGGGTCATCATTTTGATGCTGCATAAGTTCCCACGGCTTCTTCCCAAGTTCTGGGATTGTTTTTCTTTTGTAAGTAAAGGAGATTTTTTTAAATTGTTTTAAACTGGGAGATGATTTTGACTTGCTAGGAGGTTGACTCCACTTCAGAAGCTGTTTCTGACTCTCAGCTGCCCTAATGTGTTGACAGAATAAATTACATTTGCAAGTTTTGAATTATTTTAGAAGATAAACTCCTGCATGAGTGTATCGTAGTTTTTATTTGAGAGCTATTCTAATTCCAACAAAATAAAGATGGAAAATCCTTTATTGTTGAGAAGTAAAGGAAGCTCAACATGGTGGTGCAACCTCAGCGCAGGGGAGGCTGAGGAAGATGATGAGTTCAGGGCCATCTTGAGCTACATGGTGAGATCTTGCCTCAAAAACCCAGAACACAAGTCAGGTGTGGTAGTGCATACTTATAATCCCAGCTACTCTGCCTCTGGAGGCAGAAACAGGAGGACTGAGAGTTTGAGACCAGCCTGGGCAAAAGTAGTGTAAATAACAAAAGGATGGGGACCATGGCTCAAGTGAGACAGTGCTTGCCTAGGTTCAGCCTCTAGCACTGAAAAAAAAACAGAAAAGAAATGAGAATGGATGCTATTACCATGTCTTTTTTTTAATTTTAGAATTAAAAATGAGGAATTAAATGCATTTCCCATTTTAAAACAACAACAAAAAAAAACCTTTTAGTAGAGAAATTTCAAACATAACCAAAGTAGAGACCACAGAAGGGAGCCCCGTCACCTGACCAAGCACAAGTGTGGACCATCCCACCATGTCCCCTTGTCCCGTCCCCTCCCCTCACCACTCCCATCTCGCCCTCCCCAGCATTTCTCCTATCACAAGAATCGCCTTTCATGCTGGGCACCGGAGGCTCATGCTTGCAGTCCTAGCTACTCAGGAGGCAGAGAGCAGCAGGATCATGGTTCAAAGTCAGCCCAGCAAATAGTTCGTGAGACCCTATCAAAAAAACCCCATCAAGGTGAAGACCCTGAGTTTAAGCCCTAGTTCCACAAAAAGAAAAAAAAGTGTCACCTTTCAGGAGCTGTACTAAGATTAGTGATGGGGCCAGAATGTGGTGCAGGCTTCCTGCGTGTGTGTCCTGGCCCACACCTGCACTGGTCACGCAGACCGTCCCAGTTTTCTGTTGCTGGAACTCTGCACGTCAAGTGGCACAGGAGCTGCGGGTGTCACTGCTTGCGATTCTCTGGGTTGATGGCCCTGGCCAGGTACTTGTGCTTCAGGTGTTGCTGGGCTGGGACTTCAGTGGTGTCTTCACTCCCACATTTGTCCCCTCAGCTGCAGTGGCAAGAACAGCTCTGTGGTTGGCACGGCCCACATGTTGCCATCTCTGTGTGGTGGCTCAGGGTTCACGGAGGGAGAGTGCAGTGCAGGGCCCAGGTACCTGCCATCCAGTCTCTGGCTACAACAGGCTTGAAAGATCTGATTGCCAAGACAAGTCACATGACCAGCTCCTGAGGTGGGAGGGGCCTGCGCAGGGCCTCAGTAGAGGCTCTGTTCCCTAGGAATAATGGAAGCCTCTCTTCATCCCGTTAGCTCTCAGTATACAGTTTCTTCCCAGGGAATGTGCCTCCTCAAGTATTTGAATCCCCTTGTGTTAGTTTCTCATAGTTAGAACTTTAATCTGATTTGATTGTTGCTCCCCAAAACCCCAAGGTTTTCTGTTCCCTGAGAGCAGGATCCATGTCTACTCCTGCCTTCCTAGTTTCCACAGAACCTGTCACATATTAGATGAAGGAATTCATCATCTGACTCACCTCTTGGAGGTTCCCTCATTGGCCCTCCCACCTCAGTGGGAATTGTCCAATTCAAATTGTCCGAGGGGTCTCCCAAATTCCAGTTTGACTCTTGCATACTTTGCATCACAGCTTTCTGAAGTCTGTAACAGGACAGCTCTATTGCTGAGGCCTTCGCTGTCATCCCTATCACGTTGCCTGTCACCTCTTGCAGCCTCTGGCTTATCTTTGCCTTGGTGTCCTGTGTCTGTCTTGTTCGTTTTCACCTGCTCTCTCCTCTGACTGCCTCACTGCGTCTGCTCCTTCCCCAATCCAGTCCTTCCCACACTGTATGCTGGGCCTCTTCTCAAGGGAATGTGCCTGGCTTTCCTGGGCGCTTTAGCATGTGTGCGTAACAGGTGGTTCGGTGCAGTATTTGACCTGCATTTGGCGCCAGTGAACTCCTCTCCTTTCTTGCTTTTGGGTGTCCTGTGCCCCACAGGCCTTGGCTTCCTCAGGGAAGAGTCCAGCAGGGTTCCTTACAAGTGCTGAACTCAGAGTAAGCCTGCAATGAATATTCATTTATCGCATTCTGTTTCAGGGTGAAGAAAGACTGAAAACGAGTGTCTGTACATTTTATCTGTCTTACCACATTTGGACATCATCATTGAAAATATTCCAGAAAAGGTGAGTTTGAACTCTTTGTAAGAAGAGTTTAAACTTGAGTTTCATAAAAGGCGTTGTATACATTTGTACATACAATTTTAAATGAAGGGTGTTCCTTGTATTTTTTTTTTTTTTTGCAGTTTTTTCCTTCCCTTTCCCTGTGCCCAGTGTGCATCAGACACAATGGGCAGTGAGACACTCCACTTGAAAGTACACTGAATACACATCAGTGAGCAGTTCGTGGTGATAGAAATGAGTTTTAATTGTCTACAAGTGTGTGTACTTGGGATTATTTAAAAAGGATTTGCCTTACTGCATTCTGTGACTACGTGGAGTTATGCTACAAATGGTCATGCAGAGAAACTCATTGGTGTTGGGCGGTGTTGTGGGAGCACCCATCCAAGGAGATGGTTGATTGCAAGCAGCCTGAAAGCAGCCAGTGAGCAAGCTGGCTGTGCTGGAGTCTAGGGCAGGTGCAGCCCCTGGTGAAAATGGCCTCATTACCCAAGGGTGGAGCGATGGGCACAGAGGGAGGCCCAGGTAGGACATGGGGGAATCAAGAGTCCTGTTGTTGACGTGTTGTAGTTGGGACAACTAACAGAATTGCTAAGAGAATTCAGGCTTGCCTCTCTTCACATTAGTTGTCTAATGTGAAACTGGGAGGATAAAACCCATGCTGTCAAATTGTGCACATTTAAAGTAATGTACGTAAGATTCTGTGCGTGACACGTGGGGTATTTAATGGTACAGGTAGCAGTGACTTATGTCAGGATGTCACCGTGAGCTGGATCATGTGGTGAAGGGCTATTGCATCTCTCTCTGTCCCCCTCCCCTTCTCTCTCTCTCTGTCTGGTAGTACTGGAGTTTGAACTCAGGGCTCACACTTGCTAGGCAGGTGCCCTGCACTTGAGTCATGCCCTGGCCCTTTTTGCTTTAGTTATTTTTAATAGGGTCTCACTTCTGCCTGGGCCAGCTTCTCACCATGATCCTCCTACTCCTTCCTCCTGCCTCCACCTCCCGAGTAGCTGGGATCACCAGCATGTGCCACCATGCCTGGCTTTTTTGTTGAGATGGAGTCTCCCTAATTTTTTGTGTAGGCTGGCCTCAAACTTGATCCTTCTAATCCACACCTCCCAGGTGTCTAGGATTAGTCATGAGCTGCTGTGCCCAGCCTTGCCTGAGTCGCTCATCTTCAGATTTATCTTCTAATGACACTTGGCTGTTGTGGTTCACTGTTTTCAGTTTCTAGAACATACCTAAGCACCTGGCTGGAGGTGGGGGAAGAGGACAGGCTTTGGTGAGAGCAGGTTTTGGGGGAGTTTTGCACACTGCGATAAAGGATCACATTAATATATGTCACTTCCTGTGACCTTCAAGTCTGTTGAACAGTGTGATTTCAGAAGTTAGGGAAATTTATTGTATTAAGTCCCCAGACTGCAAAGACCGGGTTCACAGGAAAAGACCATGGGGGTGTTTAAACCATTTTATTCTCTCTGCACTTGGTTCATTTTGCTGCCTCTCCTCGAGGCTGTGAGGCCAGGGTAACCAACAGGAGGCCAGGAGCTCAGTCGGTGGAGGGAGGGTGGTGTAGAGTGTGCTGCGTTGCTTAGCAACTCCTTCAAGGTCACCAGAAGGGGCTCCTGCAGAAAATCTGAACTGTTTCAGCCCAGGTTAGGTAACAAGAGCTGGGGTCGTGTTTCTAGAACATTGTGGCTGTGTAAGATTGGCATACAGACACTTCATCCAGACCAGCCGAGGCAAGAGAGTGGGGGCAGTCGTGAAAACGAAGAGCCTAGAGAATCTTTCTTTACCTGGTTTGTCCAAGCCAGCGGGATGGAGCTGTCCGTCGTGACTGGCCATTTGTTCACTGTTTGCACACAGTCGGGGGCGGGTCCTTGGCTGGACCATGGTGAGGAGTCTGTCCGTCTTTTTACAGAAGCCGGTGCTGAAGCAGGCCCTGATCGTCACGCTGCAGTGGTGTCTCAGCCACAACTTCAGTGTTCGGTTGTACGCGCTGGTTGCTCTCAAGAAAGTCTGGCACATGTGCAAAGCATTGTGTGTGGAAGAGTGTGATGCGTGGACTAAAGTGATTGAGGGCAGCCTCAGCCAAGCGGAGAGCATGCATGGAGCAGGGTAGGATGTCCTGCAGCTCTCCCTTCCTCCAGCAGAGCCTGGAGGAGTGAGGGGGCACTGGCCTGGTCACCTGTGTGTCATTGTGCCATCACTCGGGGTGCAGAGCACTTGGGTGAGGCCCGGTGCCAGTGGCCTACTGTGGTGTTACGGTGCTTCTGGCTCTCTCCTGACCTTACCCTGACGTTGCTGATGACCCTCAGTTGTTACTTCACTGTTGTGAAGTGACTGCTAGTTACCGAACTCTCACTGTTGCAGCAGAGGCCGCAGGACCTGTGCCTTCCCTTGTCTGAGGTGGCTGCTCCACTCCACAGACGTCCTCTTACCCAGAAACTCAGTGCTGAGCAGGCAGAGGCTGCTGCTGGGTTTGGGGGGGGTGTGCAGCCCCATGGTAATGGGCTCCTACCTTGTCCTGGGCCCACTCCTGTCATAGCACAGCAGCACCAGGCCACAGTGTCCTGAGCCTCTCTTGGCATCTGAGCCTCTGAACACGTTTCCAGTGGGTTGCTTTCTTTTGCTTCTATTCCTTGTTACGGCTGCTGGGATTTTTGTGAATCTGAGACCTAGGCACCATCAACCAGCATAAAACATTTTTTTCAAGATGCTCAAAAAAGCATCAGGAATTTATACATGGAAACGGAAAAGACTAGAAGCAGCAAGCAGCTGATCAGACCAGTGAAGTAGTGTTAGGAAACCAGGAACCTGCAGGGGGCCTTGCCGTGGGCCCCCCCAGTGAGTACATGCTACAAAACAAACAATTATAAGTTGTGACAGGGCTCATGGGGGCCAAGTGGACACTTTGTGGGGTTTTGTTTGCTTAAGGCTTAACCTAAAAGCCTATTTGAACATCTGAGGGAAAGGAGCACAGAGAAGAAGGGAGGAGTGGGTGGGCAGACAAAGTGCCAGGAGGGACACAGAGCTGATCTGGGTACCTCCCACCTGCAGGAGACAGGTTGTTGGAAGCGAGGGGATGAGGATGGTGGAGGGTGGAGGCGGGGAGCAGGAAGCGCCCACACCTCAGGTCTTCTGTCTCCTGCTGCAGTGACCCTGTGGTGAGAGAGGGATGGCCTTGCTGGAAGGAGGTCCTAAGGCTGCTGCTTGGGTTTGGGCTGAGGATCTTTTGGGATTGCTGTCATTTCTGTGTTGTCCCTACCTCGTTTGCCTGTAAAATCTGACAAATGTGTTCAGAATTGAAACCGCTCCTTTAGGGTGCTCGGTCTATGAAAGTAGGTAGTTTGGTTGTGTCCGGTCTTAGAGCAGCAGAAGTGAAGTGCAGTGGCTTTCCCTGCCAGAGACTGAGGGGCTCCAATTTGAGGTTTCCCAGCACTCACCTGAGCTTCTCTGCACTGTCTGGGCGCCAGCCTGAAGCCTCTGCGCTCACTGCAGTGGACGGACACCTGTGCGCAAAGCCTTGAGGCCCGAGTTTTCTTGCTGAGTTACTGGGTTCTTGGGGACCTTGAAGCAATTACTTAATTTCTCTTTTCATCTTTGATTTCCATTTAAAAATGTGAGATTTGGTGGGCCAGCCTGGAATGTGTGAGGGCTTGGGTTTAATCCCCAGTTATGAAAAAGAACGCTACCAAAAATAAAATGAAATTTTATAAGGGTCAGTTTGCACAGCACAGCGGTGTTGGTGATGTGAATGCATAAATCCAGGATAGACTTCACCCCACCCCCGTCTCTTCTCAACTGCGCAGCACCTCTTAAGAAGTCAGCCCAGTCGCCATCCACGCCTCACTCCACCCTCTCCATCCTAGGAACGCCAAGAGGAACTGGCAGCGCATCCAGGAACACTTCTTTTTCTCGGCATTTCACCCGCTTAAGGATTACTGTCTGGAGGTGAGCAGAGAATCCCGTCCGAATTTCTCCACTCCACCCATGCTCCTTTTTGGGCCCAGTTGTTGAGGGGTGATGACCAGGGTGATGCTTTCTCCTTGCTGACAAATGTCCCCTTAAACTGTAAAGTACTCGGTATAATTTTGTCACTTTGTGCTGGTGACTTGCTTGCGTCTCACTCCTCAGCAGTGAAAATTGGCTTGTCATTTTCACTTTCTATTTCTCTGGCAGTGTCTGGCTTGTAAACCCTGGAAGGGAATATTTAACTCTAAACAGAAATCAGAGCAGATTTCTGAAAGGAAGTGAGTGAGAACATTTGTGCAGGTGAGACTTTTTATACTGAAGCCCATTGTCGATGAAAGAACAAAAAGCTCTCTCTTGCTAATGGTGTTTTTTAGGTTCTGGGCAGTAAAAACTGTGTAAAAATGACACCCCTCTATGACTGTGATGGAGTGTGCTAATATTTAAGAACCATAAACACATTTGTTGCAGTTCATATAAATTAATGCACTATATAAATATCAAAGTTGTATACAGCATACTTCCTTTCTCAACTCCAGTTATAGTGTGCTGCTTTGGTATTTAAAGCATTTGACCTGGACTTTTCCTCTAAAGCACTCTAATTATCAGCGTTAGCTGCTATGCGCAGCAATTCGTTTGTGGGCTGCTCGTAGCCTGACTTGGGAACAGTACAGATCTGCGTACTGTGGGATCAGTATCTCAGAACATTAATGCAGTTTCTGCTTCACTGCCCATACGTCTGTAGGATTTCTCACTTATTTAGCGTGCTCTGTTCCCTGCTCTGGGAGTGCTGCCTGGCTCTCCTCTCTCGTCAGTTCCCTAGGCAGTGAGTCCTTGGCTCCTTCCCCACCCCCTCACCTCTGACTGCCTCATTTCTGTCCTTTCTGTATTTTGTTCTCCATTAGAGACATAAATCAGAACTGGATGTGTTGATGTAGCAAATGGGTGTTAATGGTGTCAGCCAAACAAACATTTACTTGCAAATCATTCTGCCATTTTACTTTGCACAAATTTGGCTAGCATGAAGAAAATCATATTCACCCTAAAAACTTCACAAAGGTTATCATTCGTTAGATTGCTCACTACCAGGGCTTCTAAGTCTGAGAGACATACACACGTTTTCACAGTTGGTCATCCTATGACTCTCCGTGTTTTAGTGGGAAGTAACAGAAAGAGGGCTGTGTAGGTAATGACAGTGGTGTCACTCATGCAGTTCACGTGTGGTTGAAATCTGACTTTAGTGCCTTTACAAATGAAGAGTCAAAGCCAAGAAAGGCTGCATGGCTCACAAGGCCATACAGCTAATTATGTAGTCAAGCCAGGATCCAGATTCTGATCTTACCTAATGGTAGCGAGCGCAAGACCTGACATCAGAGAGCTTAAATTTCATTGCTCGTGGAGATGTCTGGTTGTCATTAAATTGTCTTTACCTAAATTTGTCCCTCATCAAAAATGACTCGTTCCTCCAGAGCACTTCCTGCATTTGTTTGTTTTGGCGTACTGGGGTTGGAACTCAGAGCCTTGCCTCCCCTTGCTGTTTTGCTCAGAGCCCAGTGACGTTACATAAAGATAAAGGACCTGCCCCCACCTCAGGGATTGCCTAAATGAGAAATATACACAGATAATTGCTGCACGATACGAGTGTCTAATTTGATCACATGGTGGCTTGGGGGAAGGGAACACGTCAGTAAAGTTCAATAATACTGTTAACCTGCCATCATAGATTTCTTCATCAGTTTTTAAGGGGAAACTTAGACTTTACACTTCTCTTTTTCAGACCATATTTCACACCCTTCCCCGGCTCTCGGGCGTCGCTGAAGAAGAGTGGCTTTCCCTCAGTAAATTTGTCAGCTTCACAGACGTGCCTTCTGATGCAGCGTCACCGTGGTACCTCCCTCAGAGTCCACTGTCTGTGCTGAGCCCTGGGGACTGGGCCCAGCAGGATGCAGGTAAAGACCAGCTTTGCCTCACCGCCCCTGCAGCCTGGGGAGCCTTAGGGATTTCAGTTACTTAAGTAGTGGATCAGGTCATTTTTTCCTTGTCCTGGGCACTCTGCCTTTGCAGAAGAAGAGATAAGAAAGACCTGAGATGGCTTCAGGCAGGACTTTTCATTGAAAGTTAGCTTTGCTATAAAAAGCCAGACAAGCTGGGCACTGGTGGCTCACACCTGTAATTCTAGCTACACAGGAGGCAGAGATCAGGAGGATCATGGTTGGATGCTAGCCCAGGCAAATAGTTTAAGGGACCCCATCTCCAAAATAACCACAGGAGAATGGACTGGAGGTGTGGCTCAAGTAGTAGAGCGCCTGCTTTGTACAAAGCTAATGGCTTCTCTCTTTTAAGAAGCGTTACTAACTAGTGTCCATTGCTTTTCTACTGAATATGTCTGTAAAAATAGAAATTTTCTCAGGGCCAAACTGAAATCTCTGTTGCTTTCAAAGGAGAGCAGAACTCTTGGTTGTGGTCCATCTCTGTCTGCTGGGCTCCCTTCTGCAGCTCGCTCCCCTCCTTCTCCCTTCCCAGTCACCTCAACAGCCCCGAGCTCACCCCATTTCCACACCTCAGCAGCTGGTGCTGGTGCCCTTTGTTCCCACTAGCTCTTCCTCATGGTCTGTCCTCTGGTTCTTCCAGCCACCAAGGCTGCTTTCAGAAAGTCAGGGATTTTCCCGACTCCATGTCTGCAGAGTCCACGTGGGCACACTTCCTCTTTCACCTGCCCCTTCCACAGCATCTTTGCTGGTCTCTCGCTGCCCTGCTTTTCCTCCGACTCTGACTCTTCTCACTCTTTCGAGCCCTGCACCAGCCCCCTAGTGCTGTGTTTCTGAGCTCCACGTTTTTGGAAATCATTGAGATGCATGTTAAAAACACAGATTCCAATTCCAGTCTCACCTGAGACCAACTCGTCCTCTTGCTAACCGACCTTGGTGGTTTGCCTCCCCACACCCAGCTCCTCCTGTTCTCTGGTCCTGATGTAATTCAGACTGTCATGGTCCTTACCTGATGGGTACAGAAGCCTCTTGTGGACTCGCAGCCCAGTGTCCTCACACGGCTTCAGAGTTCTGTCAGACTCAGCATTAGCACTGCTCTGCACCTCTCCGTCTCCACTGGCTCCTGTCTTCATCACCACGTGCAAAGCCCTGATGACCTGGTCCCTGTTGTCACCCTCCATTCCATTCCAGACCGGGAGCTAGGCCTGGTTCCCACTACTTCCAGAGTCATTTTCCTCCCACATCCCATGCTGCACGCGCCATATCTGCCGTCTGCTCTGCTCAATCTTTGCTCCTCCCTCCTACAGACACCAGTTCTTCCTTCCTCTGTGATGACCCTCTGTTACGTGCGTGTCTGTTCCCAGTAAACCAAGTGCTCCTTGGTTGTATGGTGCTCAGTTTGGAGAACAGGGCTGAGGAGGGGGAGTCTCAGTCCTCGTCACAGCTCAGACCCCACAGATACATAGGTTAATGATGTTCATCAGTTTAGCTAAGAGAAAATCCTTCATGCTTGTAAAATAACTTAAAGATTTTGTTGATACTGTTTTCAGGAATATATTTCCATAAAAATTCTAATCTGACATACTATTGGTTATAATTTTATTTACCTCTAAGGAAAAAATGTTAACAAGCTGTGATATTCTGTTGATTCTGAGTTCCTTCACAATTTTGGATCTGCTAAACTGTGAAAAAAAATGTGCATTTTCTATTTTTATGAAATGTCTTAATATATAGGTTAGTAGAGCTGAATTTGAAAACTAAAAATTACTATTAAAAATGGTGGTGATGTTTGAATCCAAGCACAGCTCTTCGGTTAACGTGTGGTTAAATAAATCTCATTCTGAGTCAGTTGCATAATCCCAGCTACTCAGAGGCTGAGATTGGAAGGATCATGGTTCAAGGCCAGCCTGGGTGAAAAGTTAGTGAGACTGTTTTTAACCAACAATCTGGGTGGGGTGGTACACACCTGTAATCCCGGCTACTGGGAGGCATGGGTAGGAGGATCACCACCTGAAGCTGTCCCCACCCAGGCAAAAACTAAAGATGCTATCTGCCCAGGCCCTGAGTTCAAACTCAGTAACCCCCCCCCCATCTAAACCCTTAAAAATGCCTATGGAGATGGGAGTGAATGTGGGGAAGTGACTCAGATTCCTTTTTGCATGGATTCTTTTCCCTTCCTTCCAGGATCTCACCCGGGTGAGGAAGAAGACCAGCCTGAGTGGGCTGACGTGCAGAGGAAGATCATCCCGTGCGGTCTCAGTGCAGACGTGGACCTGGAGCCCGGATTCCAGCACCGTGCAGCCAGGCTCGGAAAGTCTGTTAGCAGACTGATTGTGGTGGCCTCGCTCATTGACAAACCGACCAACTTAGGAGGTAAAGTCATGGCTTTCCAGGTGGTGGTCCTGGGAATTCCTGTCCCTCTCCTCCCCCTTTGGTGTGTCCATGTGTCGCCCTCCTGGAGGGCCTCAGTGGAGAGAGGGATGCAGTGAGCCGGCCTGTGTTGCTGTTCTGTGCAGGACTGTGCCGCACCTGTGAGGTGTTTGGGGCCGCGGCGCTCGTGGTTGGCAGTCGCCAGTGTGCAGCGACAGGCAGTTTCTGCACCTCAGTGTCTCAGCAGAACAGTGGCTTCCTCTGGTGGAAGTGAGTAGAAAGTACTTATTACTAAAATTTGTATTTGTGAAAATATTGTGAAGTGCTTTACTCTGGATTAGGTCTTTTGCAACAATGTATCAGAGTCCAGCTTTAATAGTTTAAAAAATAATACTGAAGGCCACGTATAGTGGGCTCACATCTATAATCCCAGTTACTCAGGAGGCAGGGATCGGGTGGAACTGGGATCCAGGCCAGCTGGGGCAAAAAGTTAGTGAGACCCCATCTCAGCCAATAAGCGAGGTGTGTTGGTACAAATCTGATCTCAGCTAGGCAGGTGGTATAGGTGGGATTGTAGTTCAGGCTGGCCTGGGCAAGAATGCAAGACCCTACCTGAAAAATAACTAAAGCAAAAAAGGGCTGGAGGGGTAGCTCTAGTGGTAGAGCACCTGCCTAGCAAGTGTGAGGCCCTAAGTTCAAACCCCAGTACCACAAAACTGAAAAACGTAAGCAAGATCCAGCCCACCTATTTGGTTCCTTTGTCATAATCTCACCTTTGTTTTAGAAGCTGTCAGTGCTGCAGCCTTCTGTGCAGTAAAGTGGGTTTCCTTGCAGCCCACTCTTGGTTTAGGACCGACGCTTGTGAACTTACATGATGTTAGGGAGTTCTGGATAACGTTTAGTTCTGTTGTTTTCCTTTTAACAAAAAGGGTAACAAGCTTAGTTTATTAAGCTTTTTTGATCTTAACCCTCATTTTACCCAGGCTGGGCTGACACCGGGTGACTTACTGTTCCGCTCTTTTTAACCAACGTTAAGGTGAAACCAGCTCAGCTCACCCACTACCTGCAGCAGAAGAAGGCCGAAGGCTACACCATCATCGGCGTGGAGCAGACGGCCCGGAGCTCCAGCCTGGCACACTTCTGCTTTCCCGAGAAGTCTCTGCTCCTGCTGGGGTGAGTGGATGCCCTGAGCCCAGGGCAGATGTCACCTGCACTACGACTTACCCACACTCCTGTTGTCATACTGCAGTTTCCTTTTGGCTGCTAAGGTCTGGGAAACCTGTTTGCTTTTTAAATTTCACCTGGCCTGGGTGGTCAGGTGAACACAGAGCAGCCTGTAAATCTTGGTTACCCTCTTGTGTATTTCCTGGAGCCACAGTTGCTGGAGTTGTTAACCCGTCAGTAACACGCGGAATACCTGAGAAAGACGCTTGCCTTCATCACGGGGAGGGTAACGCATCTCTCCGTTCTTCCTCAGAAACGAGCGGGAAGGGATTCCAGCGAGCCTCATCCAGCAGCTGGACGTGTGTGTGGAGATCCCGCAGCAGGGTGTGATCCGCTCGCTGAATGTCCATGTGAGTGGGGCCCTGCTCATCTGGGAGTACACCCGGCAGCAGCTGCGTCAGCGGGCGACCCCGCACCCTGAGTGCCTGGCCTCCCCCAGGAGCTCAGAGGTGCCGGGGTGACCTGCGCTCGATCTTCTGTGATTTAGTGCCCAAACCTTTTTGTGTGCCTTAAATATATCACTGTATATGGCCCCTTGGGTAACCTTTTAGCTAAACTGTATTGCTTCTTTAATAAAATATTTTAAGCAATTGTGGAAATAGAGCTCGTAATTTTAAAAGATAACGTCCTTCCCAGAGGCTAGCATTGCCAGGAGCCTGGACTGTGCTCCAAGCATGGCAGAATTAAAGCAGCATTTACCTGGAGCACCTCTACCCTGCCTTAGGAAGCAGATGAGGCAGAGGGAGGGTTCTGAAGGAGGTGGTCCAGCTTCCTGAGCGCTGAGCCTTGAATTCCTACTCAGAAAATGCCTGGTAAGGTGCTGGCCAGCTCCCCGTAACGTGAGGATGCATTACTCTCGTACACACACTGACACGAGAACCCGCGAGTGCTGCTCTGCTTGCTCGTCGTTTGATTTTTTGGTCTGATACTTAGATTACTTCATTATTTCATAGCAGCCCGTATGTCCCCATCCAACAACGGACTTCAGTTATCCTGGCCCCCTTTAGTAATATCCAAAACTCTGAGTCCATTACACATTTATTTTTTCTCCTGGGGTTTTATTTTGAAATAATTTTTGTTTTACAGAAGGGTTGCAAAAGTAAGTTTCTGTATACCCACTTCATTCAGATGCCTCTAATGGACCTTGCATGACCGATGGACATTTATTGAAATTAGGAAATTGACAGATAATGGTGCCATTCACTACTCACTGTATATAAAATACAGGCTTTGCTCAGTTCCCGTTTCCTCCGATGTCCTTTCTTTGTCTCAGGAGCCAGTCCAGGGCTGGACACCATATGGCATTCAGTCACATGTCCCCTTAGCCTCCTTCACCTCCCTCAGATACAGTCTTCCCTTGTCCTGCATGCGTGGACACTTCGTTTGTACTTTCTCATGGGCTTTGTCGTGATCTTTTCACGCATGGACTTACGGTCCTTTGTCGGTATTCACCCCGCTGCCCTCTCGTCCCCTCCCACAACACTTGGACGAGTTCTGGCCAGGTATTTTGTAGACGCTCTAGTCTGGGTTTGCTGTGTTCTCAGAATGAGGCTTGGGGTTTTAAGGAAGACCTTGGCAGTGGGGCAGGGCTTCTCACATCGTGGTGGGCGGTGGGCGGTGTCACCTGGGCTCACTGCCTCCATCAGTGGGTGAAGACAGCCTCTGCCGTTTCTCCCTTCTCATGGATTGTTGAGTGTGTCACTCAGCCCAGCCCCGGGAAAGCAAGCTCCCTCTTGTAGGGGAGGATGTCAAGGAATTTGGGTTGCCTATTAGCACCACAGTGCCTAGGGAGTGGGGGAGATGCTCGGAGGCCATGCACACGTGCTGCCTCACTTTCACCCGCCGATTTCGGCCTGCACCAGCGGCAGTGCCTCCTCAGCTCCTACCACGGTGCCTGTGCTAATGGTCACGTTCTCTGCTTCCCTCCTTCCCCTCTACATGTCACCCTACCTCGGTGTGCACAGATGGCAGCAACCTTTGCACACTGTCCTGTTGCTTTATTTCCAGGACCTACTTTTTGGCACTGCACAATGAGCGGGTTCCTCACGTCTGCCAACGGCCCATGTGTGTTGCCTGCCAATGTCTAAATAAACATGAGTTCTGATGGATATCCGGGGTTGGATACCCCAGTCCAGCACCACAGAATCATTCTAACAACCTCCATGCTTATTTTCAATTGCTTTTTTCAACCTAAAACCAGCTCCTGTTACTCATTTACTCACCTGTTAACTCCACTACACACGCAGTCCTGGAATTGCTAAGCCTGTGAAATTCAGCAACTTGCATAGTTTTTCTTTAGCCCTACAGTATCCTGTCCAATCTTTTAAGTTCTACTAATCAGTCCCTTTCTTAGCCACTTCTTCCAGTGAGATTAGGTCAGACATCGCCAGGTTCATTTACCCACCTGCATTCCACATCAGAATCCCCCACCAGCATGCTGGTTGATTTTATTTTAATGTGCACACAAAGCAGACAGTCTGGATTTTGGACAAGTGACAATAGGTCCACTACCACAGAGCACAGAGAACACTTTCACCACCCTAAAAATTCCTTTGGGTAACCCCTTCACAGCAAACCTCTTCCTCTGTCCCCTACCACTGGCAACCACCAATGTTTTGTGCTCCCCTCCTCATCAGGACTGGGTTTGAACTCAGGACTTACAAAGCAGTCATTCTACCACTTGAGCCACACCTCCAAACCATTTTGCTCTGGCTGTTTTGGAGATAGGGTCTCGAGAACTATTTGCCTGGGCTGACCTCAAACTGCAATCCTCCTGATCTCAGCCTCCCAAGTAGCTGGGATTACAGCTGTGCAGCATTGGTGCCTGGCCATTGACGTGTTTTCTATACCACCATTTTGCCTTTCTTTTCCAGAGTTGTGTCAAAGGACCATACGTGCAGCCTTTTGGGCCTGTCTTCTTCACAAAGCACAACACATTCAGGGTTCATCCAGGTTGCTGCATGAGTTGGAAGTGCTGTCTGTCCTGCTGAGTGCCAGTGCATTGTATGAAAGTGTGAGTTCCCATTCCTCTGCTGCAGGCTGTGACTTCCAATGAACATTCATGTGCAGGTTTTGTTTTCAGTTCATTGGCTGAAATATCGAGGAGTGGGGTTGCTGAACCACAAGGTCTTGTGTTTAAGTATGGAAGCCTCTGCTTGCATCCCACCACAGTGGACAAGGGTGACTGTTGCTCTGAGTCCTTGTTAGTACTTGGTATTGCCTTTTAATTTAAGCTATTCCAGTACGGCTGTGGTGACAGCACTGTGGTATTCCTTTCCAGTATTCTAATCTTTAGTATGTGGGATTTTTTAGATCCTTCTTTTCCATTGTATATCCTCTTTTAAGCAGTACCTATTGGGCTGGGAGTGTGGCTCAAGTGGCGGAGCACCTGCCTAGAAAGTGCAAGGCCCTGAGTTCAAACCCTGGCACTGTCAAAAAAAAAGAAATAGTGTTTGCATAAGTTGCCTACTTTTTGAAGAGGGTTATTTGTTTTAAGAACTATAAGAGCTCTTTGTTCTGGCACAGGTTCTTCCATGTGGTTTGCAAAGATTGTCTCCAAGTCTACAATTTATCTTTTTGCCTATCTGGGATTTTTTGGGGGGTTGATACTGGGATTTGAACTCAGGACCTTGTGGTTGCATAGCAAGTGCTCTATTACTTGAGTCATGCCTTGCCCCTTTTTTGCTTTAGTTATTTTTCAGATAAGGTCTTGAAGTTTTTGCCTGGGTCAATATGGGCCTCCATCCTCCTATTTATGCCTCCTGTGTAGCTAGGATTACAGGCATGAGTCACCATACCCAGCTTGTTAGTTGAAATGGAATCTTGCTAATTTATCTCCTAGCTGGCTTCAAACCACAATCCTCCAGACCTCTGCCTCCCAAGTAGGTGGGATTACAGGCGTGAGGCCTGGGGCTCAGCCATTCCTTGGTATTTTCTTAGTGTTAGTCATCTCTCTGAACACAGCCAGTTTTGTTTCTTCCTTCCCAATTTATATACGTCTTGTTTTTTTGGTTTTTTTTTTTTGTCTCTCTAAACCAGGAAGGAATCCAGTCATTCTTATTGTTTAGCATGGTATTAGCTGTTGGCTTTTTCAATACAGGTTTTATTAACTTTACCTGCATATTTTAAGTTCACCCTTCTTCCATCCTCACTTCATACTTCCTGTATTAAGATCTAACACCAAGGAACACATGTGACAACCTAGTTTCTAACCTATAATGTATCAACTGCAAATATTTGCCTCCTACTCAGCTTCTCCAAAAGTAAAAGAAAATGGAAATGTGTTTTTATAATAGGCTATAATTTACTTTTTTTTCTTAAAACAGATTTCTTAAAGCTGTTGAATACAAGTATATTGGGTTCTTCACAGTGTGAATGTGGGCTCCTCTCTTCCTTGGTCATTTTACCAGTGCTGCTCACGGAGCAGCATCAATGTGACCCATGACTCACACAGCGCTGTCCCAGAACCAGCTAAGCACCTCTGACTGTCTGGAAAGAAGCATTTCAACCTGTGTGAAAGTTCAGGAGCAGTCTAGGAATTTGCAATTGATTTCAAAGGTTGCAATTGTCCTGCTTCAAATTTTTCCTTGAATTTTAAATAGTCTCTTTTTTTATCAAAATATTTTATCTGTCAAAACAAGAGGGCTTGACATCAGGGCAAGCTATGCAGCTTAGATAAGCAAAAGCACAGATTGAAACGTAACAAATTACACCACGTTGAACAAGACAGAGGAGATTTATATTCTGGAAGCCACCGAGGCAGGGATCTAAATGAATGATGCTGACAATGAAACCCCCAGCAGCACAGCAACTAAGAGATAGCAATAGATAAATGGGACTCAAAAACTAAAAAGCTTCTGTTCTCAAAAGAAATGGGTCTCTAAACTGAAGAGAAACCCACAGAGTGGGGAAAATATTTGCCAATTATCATAGACAAGTTGACTGATAAACAGAAATATACAGGGAACTTAAAAAACTAAATCTCCAAAACTAATGCCACCAATAAAGAAAATGGGCATGTGAACTAAACAGAACTTCTCAAAAGAAGAAATCAATGGCCCAGAAACACATTGAAAAATCTCACCATCTCTAGCATAAAGGAAAATGCAATTTAAAACCACACTAAGATTCCACCTCACCTCACCCTGTTAGAATAGCCATCATCAGCAACACCACCAACAACAGGTGTTGGGCGAGGATGTGGGGAAAAAGGAAACCCTTTTACACTGTTGGTGGAAATGTAGAACTAGTACAACACTCTGTGAAAAATTTGGAGGCTATTAAAAAAGCTGGACATCGACTATACCATTTGATCCCAGCAAATACCACTCTGGGGATATACCAAAAGACTGTTCTCCAGAGGCACCTGCAAATCCATGTTTATTTGCGGCAGCTATTACAATAGCCAAGTTAATGGAAACAGCCAAGATGTCCCAGCACTGATGAAGGCATTAAGAAAAATGTGGTATCTCATACCAATGGCAACCATTTATGCAGCCATGAGAAGAAGAAATGTTATCATTCGCTGGTAAATGGATGGAATTGGAGAACATCATTCTGCCAGTGAGGTTAGCC